CTCGGAGTTCAGGGAGAACGCTAAGGGCGACGAGCCAGGCTCAGGGAAACCGGGCGCCCATACGCTTCTAGTCCCTCTCACCTGGATCTTCTGCGTCAGGTTACATGCTTGCGCTAGTTTTTCTTTTGTTTCTTTAATTTTTTTTTGTAGAGACAGTGGATGTGTGTGTGGGGTGGGGGGGTGGGGGGGGCGGGGTTGGGGCTCACCATTTTGCCCAGGCTGGTCTCGAACTCCTGGGCTCAAGCGATCCACCTGCCTTGGCCTTCCAAAGTGCTGGTACTACAGGAGTGAGCCACCACGCCCAGCCTGTTTGCGCTGTTTTCTGAGGCTTTCTGCCAAATTGCTTTCTTTCCTGGTGAGAAAGTCACCCCCTAGAATTGGGGTGTCCCAGCGGACTTGCCGGGTGGTTGAACTGAAGGATGTCCTCCAACCTCACCTTCAGCTGTGGCCTGGCTGGGGACCCAGCACGTGGTTCAACGCCATGGGAATCACCGGTTTCTCCTTTGGAGAGAGTCACACTTGGAGAGGCCATTCTCAACTCTCCACAGCTTGCTGTGTGTCCCTGAGTGAAGTATTAACCTCTGTGAACCTCACGTGCCTCCTCTGTAAAGTGGAGCTTCCATATTCTAGCATTTGCCTCATAAAATTGTCAGTATGATTACATGGGCTAGTATAGGTTGCAGGTGGAGAGCCAGAGGATAATCACCACCACCACACTAGGGCACTCACTGTGTGCCTAGGCCTAGGCATTTTGAAATAACCCTATTAAAAAAGGATCATCCGGCTGGGTGCGTTGGCTCATGCCTGTAATCCCAGCACTTTGGGAGGCCGAGGCGGGCAGATCACGAGGTCAGGAGATTGAGACCACTCTGGCTAACATGGTGAAGCCCCGTCTCTACTAAAAATACGAAAAAATTAGCCGGGCGTGGTGGTGGGCGCCTGTAGTCCCAGCTTCTTGGGAGGCTGAGGCAGGAGAATGGCGTAAACCCGGGAGGCCACGGAGCTTGCAGTGAGCCGAGATTGCGCCACTGCACTCCAGCCTGGGCCACAGAGCGAGACTCCATCTCAAAAAAATTATGATAATAAATAAAGGATCATCCACAGATAGATAAATTGAAGGTCAGAGAGATTTAGTGATTGCATGGGGTCACACAGCAGAGCTAGGACTGGACTCAGAAAGACATGGATACACAAGTGCTGGGAGATGTGGGTGGAGTCTAAGGTCTGTGAGTTTACAGCAGGGGTCCCCAACCCAGTTGCAGGACCAGTGCGGGTTTGTGTCCTGTTAGGAACAGGGCTGCACAGCAGGAGGTGAGCAGCAGGCATTACCGTCTGAGCTCTGCCTCTTGTCAGATCAGCAGAGGCATTAGATTCTCATAGGAGCAGGAACCCTATTGTCCCCACATGCAATAGATTGCTGCACTCCTTATGAAAATCTAATGCCTGATGAACTGAGGTGGAACAGCCTCATCCTGAAACCATTCCAGTGGCCCCACTCCAACCCATGGAAAAACTGTCTTCCAGGAAACTGGTCCATGGTGCTAAAAAGATTGGAAACCGCTGGTTTAGAGGGTACCCAGGGGCCTGAAAAATAACCTGGCCCTGCCTCCTTTTGGTTAATGCTTTCTTCCTCTAATGGATTATTCATCACCGAGAGGTGATCCAATGCTTGAGGGGTCAGGGACCTAAAAGACCATCCAGGCCTATTTCCATATGGAGAGAGGGAAGGGACTTGTCCAGTTCCACAGCTGGGCAGCACAGATCTGGATTGGAGCTCAGGTCTCCTAGTCCTGTGCTCCTGCTGCTCCTTCCCCCACTGGGTGAGCAGTTCTGCAGGGGGCTGCCACTCCTATCCACAATCAAACTGCCCACTCAGTCGGAGCACCTCTCCAGGAGCTGCCCACTGGCTACCCCTGACCCCACTTGGCTGGGGACTTCTGCTACCCGCTCCCTCCTCTCAAGCAGCTGATTGGTCTAAGCAGAGAGGAAACCAGTGCCATTCTGGCTCCCAAGTGCTGATGCAAGACCAGCAACTATTTACTACTCGTGTGTGTGTGTGGTGTATGTGTGTATATTTTTTTCTTTTGTTAGAAAAGGGCTAGCGCAGCATATAACAAGTGATTTATGGTGGCGTCTTCCAGTAGATTGATTGTATTTTGTTCCTTCTTTGTATTTATTTATTTATTTATTTATTTATTTATTTTTGAGACAGAGTCTCGCTCTATTGCCCGGGCTGGAATGCAGTGGCCCCATCTTGGCTCATGCAAGCTCCGCCTCCCGGATTCACGCCATTCTCCTGCCTCAGCCTCCTGAGTAGCTGGGACTACAGGCACCCACCACCACACCCAGCTAATTATATATATATATATATATTTAGTAGAGACAGGGTTTCACCATGTTAGCCAGGATGGTCTCGATCTCTTGACCTCGTGATCCCCCCGCCTTGGCCTCCCAAAGTGCTGGGATTACAGGCATGAACCACTGGGCCTGGCCCCTTCTTTATATTTTAAAATTTCTTTAGTAATGAACAAACATTAATAAGACAAGAAATAAAAAGCTGTTTTAAAATTTCTCTTAAGCAAAAGGCCAACAATCATTTTTAAAAAGAGCGGGATAAGAACAGATTGTTCTCAGGAAAAAAAAAAAAACAAAAAACGGCTCTTAAACATAGAAACAGATAACCAACTTTGCTTGTAATGATAGAAATGCAAACTAAGATTATAATTAATTACTATTTCTTATCAGATTGGGAAAAATCCAAGTTTTACAGCACGTTCTCCTTGGAAACAGGCACCCTCATACATTGGTAATGGAAATGCAAAATATTTCTGGACCTTATGGAGGAGAATTTGGCAATAGCTAGCAAAGTTACATGTGCATTTACCCTTTGACCAAGCAATCCCATTTATAAGAATAGATCCCATAAATGCACTGGTAAAAATACCAATTGATGCATGCATAAGATTGGTCATTGTAACTCTATTGTAATAATAAAAGTCTGGAAACAGGGCCAATGTCCATCAACAGGGAGTGGTTGAACAAGCCACCCAATGGAGGACTCTGAGGCTGTACAAAGGACGCAGGAAGATCTTGACAGACTACTGTGGAGAGATCTCTGTATTAGATTGTTCCCAGAATGAAAGCCAGAAGAATGTTCAGAACAGGCAAATCTATGGAGAAAGAAAGTAGATTTGTGGTTGCCTAGGGCTGTGTGTGGAGGATTGGGGAGGGGAAACTGCATGGGAGGTGATAGCTAAAGGGTTGGGCTTTCTTTTCTGGGGTGATGAAAATATTAAAATTTAGTGGTGATAGTTATACAACTCTGAACAATACTGTACTAAAAACTATTGAATTATACACTTAAATGGGTGAATTTTAAGGGGGAGGGCAAAGTGAGAAGATGGTATATAGTATGCTACTGCAGTAAAGAGAGAATATATGATTAAATTAAACAATATAAGGGTAAGCATCAACAACACAAATGTTATTTTGTCAGTCAGGATGCAATGAGGGAAGCAGAATCATGTTGAAGTTATGGGTTAGGGCATTGGTCCCCAACATTTTGGCACTAGGGTCCAGTTTTGTGGCAGACAATTTTTCTACAGGACTGGGAGGTAGGGGGATGGTTTGGGATAAAACTGTTCCCCCTCGGATGATCAGGCATTAGTTAGATTCTCATAAGAAGCATGCAACCTAGGTCAGGTGTGGTGGCTCATGCCTGTAATCCCAGGACTTTGGGAGGCTGAGGCGGGAGGATCACTTGAGGTCAGGAGTTCAAGGTCAGCCTGGCCAACATGGTGAAACCCCATCTCTACTAAAAATACAAAAATTAGCCACATGTGGTGGTGCACACCTGTAGTCCCAGCTACTTGGGAGGCTGAGGCATGAAAATCGCTTGAGCCTGGGAGGCAGAGTTTGCAGTGAGCCGAGATTACACTACTGCACTCCAGCTGGGGCAACACAGTGAGACTCTGTCTGAAAAAAAAGAAAAAAAAAAAAAGAAAGAAAGAAAGAAAAAGGGGGAGGGGGGTGGCACAGTGGTTCACGCCTATAATCCCAACACTTTGGGAGGTTGAGGTGGGTGGATGACCCAAGGGCAGGAGTTCAATACCAGCCTGACCAACATGGTGAAACCCCATCTCTACTAAAAATACAAAATTAGCCAGGTGTGGGGGCGAGCGCCTGTAATCCCCGCTACTGGGAAGGCTGAGGCAGAAGAACTGCTTGAACCCAGGAGGCGGAGGTTGCAGTGAGCCGAGATCATGCCACTGCACTCCAGCCTAGAAGAAAGACTGAGACTGTCTCAGGAAAAAAAAAAAAAAAGGAATCATATATTTGATTATTATGTTGGAATTGTTATTTTGAGACCGTTTTGAGGGGTTGGCTCAGGGCTCATTAATTGCTAGCTGTTATCATTATGTTATTTTTCAAAGGCCATTCCAAATACTTCCTTCTTTAGGAAGTCTTCCTGAACGATATCTTAAGGACTAATGACTGAAAGATGCTCTTCCTCCTTTGATCCCCAAAGTAGTAACTACACCTATCATGGCTTTTCTGGCTTCTTGCCTTGGGATAAAGATGCCTGAGACCCCATTATCCCTAAATTCAAAGAAGCTGTAAATGCCTTTAAGGCAAAAAGGACATGGACATCCCCCAAGGGTCTGAAGTGCAACCCATTCTGGTGTATTTAATGGGTATCTTTTTGTTTCTATGTGTCTTTGCAAGTCTGTGTTGTTTGATGTAAATGCATTTGTAATATTTTTATTGATATTGTCGTATAGGTCCTATTTGGTTTGGTTATTTACTTTTTCTGCCTAGCACTAGGTGTTTAAATCCATGTTGCCACGAATACACGGGGTCCCTTGCTTTGAGTGCTGCACAGCGTCACATTTTATCCATCCGCTCTCACAAGAAAGGGCGCTTAGATTGTCTCCAACTCCTAGCAACCATAGCAACACAGCAACCAACATCCTCCTACGTGTCCCTTTATGGGCCTGCAAGAGAATTTCAGAGATCTATATCAAGGAGCTGGATTTTAGGGTTCTCCCATAATTTCCCTCATTACTGCCAGACTGTTTTCCAGATTGACAGCCACAGGCTACTCACACCAGCTCGACAGCTCCATATTCTCCACCGACATTTGGCATTATTCAGCTTTCTAATTTTTGCCAGTCTTAATGGGTGTAAGTGATAATCTCATTGTCATCTTTCTGAACACTGAAAAATCTCTTCATATGCTTGCAGAGCTGCTGAGGTTGTGGTTCCTTAAACGCCAGCTCACATCCTGAGGTTTGACTTTCTGCGCCTGAGGCGGCGGGCCCAAGGCTCATCCCTCCGCCCCGAGTCCTGAGAGGCGCGAGGAGGGTGAGCCTGCTAGATGCCTTGTGCGCATCTATCTTCAGGGCTGGGGAGGCTGGGCGAACTCCTGGGGAGGAGACTGGGTCAGGGGCACCTGCGGAACTCGGCGTGGCCCCGACCCGCCGGCTTCGGGCGCGGAGCAGTGGGCAGGTTAAGGGAGCAGGAGGAGGGACCTGCATCCTGGTCCAGGACTGGGGTGGCCGCTGCATCAGCGTTCCTAGAAGGCGGGGCGTGGGATCTGGCGGAGCGACCGCCCCCTCCTCTCGGCTCTCCGGGCCCAGCCCCAGCGGACGCGCACCTCGCACCCGGGCGCCAGCGCGCGCAGGGGCTGCGGAACGGCGGGATGCAGGAGGAGCTGGCGTGGGAGACCGACGGCCGTGAGTTAGCCTGGCTGGAGGACGGGGGTGGGGGGTCGAGGCCGAGAGGACCCCCGCATCCGTTTGGGGAGTGTCAGGGGTGACGTTGTTGCCCTCCAAACGGCCACCTCTGACTTGGGTGTCTGTGTGGCTCCGAGCGGAATGGTTACCGGTCCGCGCAGCGGGCCAAGGGGACCTTGCCCGTGCGTCTGGGACACGGGGGCGCCACCCGCCAGGTGAGCGGGGAGCAGCGGTTGAGAGGTTAGCTACAAATAATAAGGGTAATAGTGATCCTTGACTGCATGCTGTACTTTGTGTGCCAGGCCTTCACCCAGGAGAGGCACGTCATTTGATCTTCGCTTCGGCCATTTGGGTAGGACATTACGTTATCTTCATTTTGCAGATGACAAACTGAGGCACAGGGTGTTCAAATGAGTTGTTCAAGGTCACGCAGCCATTGGGTGGTAGAAGTGCTGAAAGCCCCAGCTCCCCGGAATGCTGGGGCTGGATAGCGAGTGGAGACCGCATCGGATGGGGCACGCAGTCAGAGGGGAGGAGCCTGACTGGCCACAGGTGGGATAGGGGCAACTCTAAGCCTCCCTCAGGAAGTGCGCCCAGTGCCAGGGCCTCTAGGCCGGGCAGCAGCGTCTGTGTGGGCATCAGCTGGCCTGGGGCAGCTTTGGCTGCACTGTCTGGGAGAGGGGAGAGAAGGATTGTGTCGGTGTCTGCACTGTGAGTCCTTGATCCTGCAGCCCTGGCTGAACCCCGACAGCTGAATCCCCGACAGCTGCCTGACAGCTGCCCCGGGGGCTCTCCCTCAAATGCGCATAGTGCAGCTCACTGGATTCCTTTGAGACCTATAGTGTCCAAAATGCTGGCACACTGCATCTACTCAGCTGAGGAATGTGTTGGGGATGGGAATGCTCAATCAAGATGCTAATTATTTCAGAGTAGGTACATGATTGTGTCTGGGGTGGAGGATCACTTGAGGGGGCCTGCGAAGAATGTGTAGCCATGGAGCATTGGTGTGTGTGGCAGAGAATTCTGGGCAGAGGACCCAGCATAGGCAAAGGCTCAGACAGCTCAGTGGGTATTGGATGTGGGAGGTGGATGGAAGAGATGAGACGGAACTTGATTTCATTCTAACTTAACCTTCTGTGGCCTGGCTCTAGGTGGTGTCTGCTGGCTTCCCTCTGGGACTCCTGGCTGTTTGCCAAACCAGGCCAATCGCCCTAAGCTGCAGATAAGACACAGGGCGCCAGTCAGGAAGGGACCTATACGGATCTCTTTCTTCACCCTCCCCCAATTTTACAATGGAAGAAACAGACCTACAAGGGGGATGTGGCTAGCCCAGGATGCTGCTGCTAGAAAGTGGCAGGGCAAGAACCCAGGCCGCTGTAAGCTCACACCTGAAGAGACAGCTCTCTTTGGCTACCAGAATTTGACCCTTCGCCTTGGAGGAATAATAGTGGTGATGGTGATGGTGGTGGTGGTATGGTCATTATGTGCCAGATACTGTGCCAGGGGGCTTTCATATCTCGATTCTAATCATTATATTAACCTTGTAAGGAAGCTCATGCTCCCGTTTTGCAGATGAGGAAACTGCCTAACGCAGCTAGGAAGTGGTTCACCCAGAGTTGAACCCAGGACTGTGTGATTGCCTCCCGGGGTTGCAACTCTGAGGTCCACAGGTTGTATCCATGAGGCCCCAGAAAGCTCAAGATCCTCTTTCACATCTGGAGAAGTCTGTGTGGAATTTATCTAGAAAAGCAAACTGAATGGCAGGCCTGTCTCTCACCTCAGTGAATCTTAGCCTTCCCTACCAAGACACTCATCACCTGTCCCTGGATACACAAAGGGGCTGGGTTCAGACATTCATACTGGACCAAACATTAAAGCTGTGGGGTCACTTGCCCTGCAGTGACTATGCAAAGGGCCAGCAAATGTTTGTCTGTGTTAGTATGTGTGAGCACTTTGGGAGAGGGGACAGGCATCTATTCGTATGGGGATTGTTGGTATCACTCATACAAGCAGATATTTTTTTTTGTTTCTGTTTTCTTTTTTCTTTTTTGTTTTTTTTTTGAGACAGAGTCTCACTGTGTCGCCCAGGCTGGAGTGCAGTGGTGTGATCTCAGCTCACTGCAACCTCTGCCTCCCGGGTTGAAGCAATTCTCCTGCCTCAGCCTCCTGAGTAGCTGGGACTACAGGTGCACCACCATGCCCAACTAATTTTTGTGTTTTTAGTAGAGATCGGGTTTCACCGTGTTGGCAAGGATGGTCTTGATCTGCTGACCTCGTGATCCATCCACCTCAGCCTCCCAAAGAGCTGGGATTACAGGTGTGAGCCACCACGCCCGGCCTGTTTGTGTTTTCTTTTTAGAGACAGGTCTCACTCTGTTGCCCAGGCTGGAGTGCAGAGGTGCAATTATAGTTCATTGGCAGCCTCAAACTCCCGGGCTCAAGCAATCTTCTTTTTTTTTTTTATTTTTTTTATTTTTTATTTTTTATTTTTCAAGCAATCTTCTTGCCTTAGCCTCCTGAGTAGCTGGGACTACAGGCATGTGCCACCACACCTGGCTAATTTTTTAAAAAACTTTTTTGTAGAGATGGGGGTTTTGCTTTGTAGCCCAGGCTGGTCTCGAACTCCTGGCTTCAAGCCATCCTCCTGCCTTGACCTCCCAAACTGCTGGGATTGCATGCATGAGCCACCATGCCTGGCTCAGAAGCAGAGTTTTGTGGGTTCCTACTGTGCCCACCTTTGGGACTGCTGTGAGCTGTGGGTGGATCAGGAAGGGTCAAGTGTGGCCAGGGCCTCCAAAATGCTTGGAGACTAGACATCCTCACAATTAAGAGCTGTCAGGATGACGGCAGCAAGGGGCTCCGGTAGGGATCATCTGGCCCTGGGTCCTCCTGGCTCAGACGCTAACTTGCAGTCTGACCCTGAGCCCACAGCTGTGTGTGACAGGGGTGGGCAGGGGGAGCTCTGAGGTTCCCTTTAATCTGAGACTCTGTGCTAAAGGTGCAGCGATGAGGGTGAGAGGAGCAGAGAGAAGAGAGAGACCACAGAGAAGGAAAATCGAGTTGGCCTCAGTGTGGGCAGGTGAAAGCTGGTTAGGATTTGGGCAAGAGGGGTTGGAAGAGGCTGGGCACTGTGGCTCACACCCGTAATCCCAGCACTTTGGGAGGCCGAGGCAGGCTGATCACTTGAGGTCAGGAGTTGGGGACCAGCCCAGCCAACCTGGTGAAACCCTGTCTCTACCAAATACACAAAAATTAACCAGGTGTGGTAGCACACACTTGTAATCCCAGCTACTGAGGAGGCTGAGGAGGGAGAATCGCTTGAACCTGGGAGGCGGAGGTTGCAGTGAGACAAGATCATGCCACTGCACTCCAGTCTGGGCAACAGAGGGGTTGGAAGAAAGGGTGGAGGAGCAAGGAGATGGAAGGTACAGGAGTGGGGTAAACGTGCTTCTGGCCTCACCCGGCGCTGGCACGAAATAGGTGGCTCAGTAAATCCTGGCTGTTTTCTACACTAGACTGAAAAGGTGGTTACTGACTCCAGAGGGAGTTAATTTCATTTCCTTCCCCAAGAGCAGCTCTTGGGAGGGTACATGAAACTTGGATAATGGGGCACACATTTAGGCTGCTGCAAATGGCTTTGCCCTGCTCTTCCGTCTTCAGGGTTTCACCACGTCCTGGTTGCGTGGCTGTGGGATGAGTTAATGAAGAAGAGCAGCCTGTCTAGGGAGGACCCTGACCTTGAGAGGGAAGAGGGCTGTGCAGCTCTGCCCCCATTCCTAGCTGAAAGACCCCTGCCCCAGCAATGTCCAGGAGTGGGAACAGGCTGTTTACCTCTGGTGTCTGCAGTGTGGGGGATCCTCCCCCTCATCCTGCACCCCATTTTCTCCCCATAGTGCTTCCTCTGGAGAGGCAGCTCCACGAGGCCGCCCGCCAGAACAACGTCAGCAGGATGCAGGAGCTGATTGGGAGGAGGGTTAACACCAGGGCCAGAAACCACGTGCGTAATGGGCTTCTCTGAATCGGGGCACCTGGGATAGTGTCATGATAATGCCAGTACACAGGGGCAACAGTTCATCTGAGCTACAGGCAGGTGCATTTGCATGTGTTAACTTGGAGGGAGGCTCAGGCTCTGTCCTCATGGCCTGCATTGTCTCGAGGAATCTAAGGAATCTAAGGCTTAGAGTGGTTGGACCCCCACCCAAGGTCAGGGTCAGGATTCCAAGCCAGGCTTGGCAATTCCAGAGGTCAAACTCTTGACTTCTGGGACCCATCTGAGAAGTTAGAGCCAGGAGGGCTAGGGTCAAAGGTCAGCAGCCAGAAGCTGGGAGATGGGCAAAAGAAGAGGACAGACATTACACAAAGCATCCCACAAACAATTCATTCTCTCTGTGATAAGTTGTCGTAACAGCGTGTGCAGAAGGGTCGGGAAAAGCCTCCCAAGGAGGTGGCTTTTTTAATTTTTTTCTTTGAGACAGGACCTCACATCACCCAGGCTGGAGTGCAGTGGAACAATCACAGCTCACTGCAGCCTTGACCTTCCTGGGCTCAGTTGATCCTCCCACCTCAGCCTCCTGAGTAGCTGAGACTACAGGCACGCACCACCATGCCAGGCTAATTTTGTATTTTTTCTAGAGATAGGGGTCTTGCTATGTTGCCCAGGCTGGTCTCAAACTCCTGGACTCAAGCTATCCTCCCACCTCAGCCTCCCAAAGTGCTGGGATTACAGGCGTGGGCCACCTCACCCTCCCGGAAGTGGCATTTTTGAGGAGCCAGGTGAAGGACAGTATTCTAGGCAGAGAGAACAGTATGGGCAGAAACCCTGAGGAAGGAAGGAACAGCTGGGCTCCGGAGAGGGGATGTGGCTTGCCTGAGACCACGCAGAAAACTAGTGCTTCCTTTCGTTGTCCCCTCGTAAGCTGAAAACTACAGAGGGGAGAAGTGGGCACAGGGGCCACAGGCCAGCTTCCCCCAGGCCTGCTTGGATGGCATTTTGAACTGCCAGGGTGGTCTGAGAATGAGATGGTGCATCAGACCCCTTCAGCCCCATTCTGAGAGAAGGAAGGGGACAGAACCCAGGGACTCCAGTGCCTCTCAGGGACTTGGAGGATAATCCTTGGCCACATGGGCTTTCCAGCAGGGACAACAGCAGGAAAAGGCCTAGAGGTGGGAAGCTGCTTGGCATTTCTGAGAAGCAAGGGTGGGCAGCGCCAGACCATGCAGCGCCTCATCCTCTCCAGGGTCAGGAGTTTATTCTGAGAGCCATGAGAAACTAACGAGTTTTAGATGGGGACAGATGGGTCCAGCCATTTTACTATGTTGGCTTTGGTCGCCATGCAGGAGAGGAGCATGTGATAGAACGGAGGGGACCAGAGCCAGCAAAGACCCTTTCAGCCTGCAGACCAGCTGTCCTGGCGGAGGGTGTGGGAGGTGGTCCAGGCAGCCAGGTGGCAGCAGCACCTGACAAGTGTCATCTCCCTCCGGGCAGGTGGGCAGGGTGGCCCTGCACTGGGCTGCAGGTGCAGGGCACGAGCAGGCTGTGCGTCTGCTTCTGGAGCACGAGGCTGCTGTGGACGAGGAGGATGCGGTAGGGGCCCTCACAGAGGCACATCTGTGTGTGCGTGTCTGTCTGTCTGTCTGTCTCAGGGTGCTGGGGGGCACTGGAGATCTCTCTGGGTCTATGAGCCGGTTGCTGAGATTGCTGCTAATATGCAGACATTCAGGTGCAGAGTGGCAGGGAGTCAAAGGCTTCAGGTGCCAGGGACACTGCACTGGTTCCATGTTCCTCCTATACAGTAATGAAGAGCTCTCCACTTTCAAGGGTCTTTCAGTTCTCAGAGAGCCTTTTCAGTCCCTCATGAAAGCATGTGAACAGGGAGAGGGCTGTAGAACAGATAACTGGGTGGATTGATAGAGGCCTGATTAGCAAAAGCACCAGGAGGAAGGTCTCTCATGATATGCCACAGGGCTCTGCTTCAATCAAAGTCTTGGATAAAGACTAACAGTCTTAGTTAAACAATTGGCAGGCAGTGTGTTGCGGAGAGAGAGCACTGATGAGTTACGGGGTCTGTAAAATTATCTCTACAGGTTTGGGAAAAAGGCTGAATCTAATAATGACATTTGAAAGGGATACTCTTATGGCTTTGTCTACATTTAAATTTTTAAAAGTGCCTGGGCGCAATGACTCATGCCTGTAATCTCGGTACTTTGGGAGGCCAAGCGGGTAGATCACTTGAGCCCAGGAGTTTGAGACGAGCCTGGGCAACATGGCGAAACTCCGTCTCTACCAAAAAATACAAAAATTAGCCAGTCTTATGAGCTGGTGTCTAAATAAATAAATAGGTAAAAATTTTAAAATAAAAAATAAAACCATAAACTTCCCTGCAGCGACTTAGTTGTCCGTGAAAACAATTTTCTTTGTTCCGGCTTCTCTCTGCTCCCAGGCCCTGCTGTGTGGGGGTTGATTACTAGTTGGGGTTGAAGTGAGGCAGCAACCCTTACCTCCCCATTCCCCAATCCTGTCTCTTCCCTGTACCTGCTTAGGCCTCATTTAGGGATGCCTTTAGGAGCAGAACGTCTAGGATCCTTAGTCTGAGCTCCCTGGTGAAACACTAGAGGCTCTTGCATCAACTCTTTCTACCCACAAAGACCCCCACTATCACCACTATGCTGTCACTTGTTCCTTCAAGGGTTTAGTGAAAAAAGAAGCTATGAGGGAGAACAGTAAGAGGGGGCCCTTTTAGAAATCCCCCCGGTTGGCTGGGCGCGGTGGCTCACACCAGTAATCCCAGCAGTTTGGAAGGCTGACGCAGGAGGATCACCTGAGATCAGAAGTTCCAGACCAGCCTGGCCAACATGGTGAAACCCCGTCTCTCCTAAAAATACAAAAATTAGCCAGGTGTGGTGGTGCACTCCTGTGATCCCAGCTACTGGAGAGGCTGAGGCAGGAGAATCGCTTGAACCTGGGAGACGGAGGTTGCTGTAAACCTAGATTACAGCACTGCACTCCAACCTGGGTGACAGAGTGAGACTCCGTCACAAACAAACAAACAAACAAAAACCTCTCTGTTTCTTTTGCAAATGGCAATACGTAACATTTTGAAAAATAAGACAGCATGGTGGGCTTGCCTGCTGTAGTAATGGGGTTCAGGAGATACTGGAGAAAGGAGATCCTGTTGCTGGAGGAAGATCTCTAGTGATATGCCACAGGACTCTGGCTTGGATAGTTCCTAGGAACTATGTATGTGGGGAAAGCTGGTTTAGGACTGTGACATATCCCGGGGGTCCTCACTGTCAGGAGGCTTTGGCTCCCATGGCTCTCCCTCCCCCAGTCCTGAGCCTTTACCCTTTTTATTCCTGAGCGCTTGTGGACTTCTTCCTCTGGACTCTGCCGGTGCTTGTTCTTTTTCCTCCCTCCTGCAGCCAGCCCACAGTTGCTGATATTCTACCAGGCGCTGAGCTCTGAGCCAGTGCCGGGTCTCCTGGCCTCTTCAGCTCTAGTTAAGGCCAGATGTAGACCCTCATTTGTTTTTTTTTTTTTTAATTTTAAAAAATATGCCCCAATCTTGGATGATAGACCTTCATTTGAGGCTCTTTGCTGGGTCCAACACCTTCCCTAGGATTTCAGGAGGAAGAATTTAAATGCTTGTGGTCCTTGCTGTCTCCTACTTTTGGTCAACTTTTGGCATCCTCTTGAAATTTTGCAAATAGTCCTTTGATTCCACCCTGGCTTCATCCCAAACATGGTGCCTCTCCCTGGGACTCCATTCACAGAAGGCTTGTAGTGTGGGATGGCTTTCCAAACTGGGATATAGAGGGGACTTATATCACACACAAAAACAATGTAAAAATCCTAAAACCCCCTCTTTGACATTCTGTTCTTTAAAGGCCCTTGGTTCTTTCCTTGCCTTGGGCCCAGCCTCTGCTCCCCTCCCTCTCTCCAGTGCTGTCCTTGTCTGCACCGCCCCCTTCCTGCTTCCAAATTCCCACCTGTTTCTAAAGCAGAGCAGAGCAACTCTCTTTGGATGCTCGGGAGCCTGCTCACTGCTGATCAGTGAGTTCCCTCTGAGTTTCATCTTTTTCCTCAACCCTTTGTTGAGGAAAAGGCTTTTACCTAAACACAGTTCCCTCCCTAAGAGGAATTCTGGTGCCAGCCGCTAAGACCCCTTTTCTTGGTACCCCTCCAAAGGCTCCTGGTGGAGCCACACCCAAGGAGGCACTGCAAAAAACCATTCCCAGGATCTGGCTGGCTCTTGATGTATCCCCAGAGCTGAGTTTGGAGGCCTGGGGTTGCTCTTCACAGAGAAGAAAAGACTCCAGGGAGATGGGGGAAGTGTGGAACCCTACTGCAGTGGAGGTCACTGAAGGGGCTCTGGGGACCCTGGAGCACGCACCGTGCAGATGTGGAGGAAGAGCACCCTGCAAACAGGCCTGGGGCTGCCCTGAGTGGAGGCACAGACATATTTTCAGTTGCTCAAGAGAGTTGGTGGAATGGAAATTGCAGGATTGCAGATTTCAACAGAGCTCGAGGAGGCATTTCTTCCTTTTCTTTTTTCATTTTTTTTTTTTTTTTGGAGACGGAGTCTTGCTCTGTCACCCAGGCTGGAGTGCAGTGGCGTGATCTTCGCTCACTGCAAGCTCTGCCTGGAGGAGGCATTTCTAATAGAAGCCAGTGTTTGACTGTGCAGGGATGTCTCGTGAGGTGGTGTGGTGCTGCAGACTTAAGCTATCTGCTTTGAAGATATTCTATGGGATATTTATTTATTTATTTATTTTTGAGACAGGCTCTCACTCCGTCGTCCAGGCTGGAGTGCAGCAGTGCAATTTTGGCTCACCATAACCCTTGCCTCCCGGGTTCAAATGATCCTCTCACTTCAGTCTCTCAGGTAGCTGGGACCACAGGCACACACACCACCATGCCCAGCTAATTAATTTTTTTGTAGAGACAGGTCTCACTATGTTGCCCAGGCTGGTCTTGAACTCCTGGGCTCAAGCGATCCTCCCACCTTGGTCCCTCCCAAAATATTAAGGTTACAGGCATGAGCCACCATGCCCAGCCTCTATGGGAGATTTAAACAATCTATTCTTAAACACCAGTCCAGGAAAAGGTCTTCACCAGTCATAGCAAATCAGAAAACAGGGACAATGTATTTTTTATGAAGCTACATTTGTTTTTTGTCTTTGTTTGTTTGTTGGTTTTTGAGACAGGGTTTTGCTCTGTCACCAAGGCTGGAGTGCAGTGGTGCGATCACAGCTCATTGCAGCCTCTATCTCCTGGGCTCAAGCAATCCTCCCACCTCAGCCTCCTGAGTAGCTGGGACCACAGGAGTGTGCCTCCATGCCTGGCTTATTTTTAAAAAATGTCTGTAGAGATGGGGGTCCCCCTATTTTGCCCAGTCTGGTTTCAAACTCCTGGGCTCAAGTGATCCTCATCTCAAAGTGTTGGGATTACAGGCGTGAACCACCATGCCCAGTTATGAAGCTTTATTTGCCAAGAATATATTCTAAGATTGGTTCCTTACAAATTTTTTCTTCTAAAATGGTCTTTCTTTATGAAATGATGATGAAAGTAAATGGCAGCCATTTTGTTTGTTTGTTTGTTTGTTTGTTTTGAGATGAAGTCTCACTCTGACGCTCAGGCTGGAATGCAGTGGTGGATCTCAGCTCACTGCAACCTCCGCCTCCTGGGTTCAAGTGATTCTCCTGCCTCAACCTCCCAAGTAGCTGGGATTACAAGTGCCCACCACCACGCCCAGCTAATTTTTGTATTTTTGGTAGAGACGGGTTCCACCATGTTGGCCAGGCTGGTCTTGAACTCCTGACTTCATGTGATCCTCCCGCCTCAGCCTCCCAAAGTGCTGGGATAACAGGCATGAGCCACCGAGCCTGGCCGGCAGCTGTTTTATTTTTAAGTTTCATTTAGCAAAAAATAAATTTAAGAAGTTTGCAACAGTACATCAGCCTCTATTTAAAAAAAAAAAAAATTGATCTTAAAATTCCTAAAGCTTGGAGCTCTCTGGACTGAGTGGCACTTATAGTTCCTTCTGGTTGTATGGTTTAATCATAAGGCACAGGGCCTGGCTGGCACGGCCACGCCTTCCCACATTCTTCTCACCTCCTGTATGTCCTCTCCCCCAGTTTGGGATGAACGCGCTTCTCCTGTCTGCCTGGTTCGGCCACTTACGAATCCTCCAGATCCTGGTAAACTCGGGGGCCAAGATCCACTGTAAGAACAAGGTAAGGCTTCAGCTGGTAACCCTCTATCCCCTCAGCTCCCCTGGCCCTGGATGCACAGGTCTCCCCCCACCTCTGCTCCCCACCCCCACTTGCCCCTCCAGTCCCCCACCTGCCTTTGCCTGTCCCTCTTTCTTCTGATCTCCCCCACCTCTCTTTACTATTCAGTGAGTTGGGACAGTCCCCAGCCCTCTGACTGGCCTCCTTGTTTGTAGGAGAGAAATCAAAGTAACTCCCTCAGAGGGTAGTTAGGAAAATTAAATGAGAAGGAGGTGAGGTCTCCTCCACCCTCCTGCCAGGCCCTGTACCCCTTGTGCTCAGTGTGGTGGGGTGAAAGGAGCAAAGCATCATTTACCAAGTGTGGTATGGTGGGCGAGTTACTCTATCAGCCTGCACTGTGGTTTGAGGGAGCAGGGCCTCAGCAAGTGAGAGTGCCTGGAATCCCTCTGCTGCTGTCTCACCTTTTAGGGTGTCAGTCACCCATAGGAAAATGCAAACATTTCTGGGCCAAATCCCTCAGCCAGGAGTTCTCACATGGGTTCTTGGAGAAAATTCAGAGGACCTATGAACTTGGATTGGAAAAAAGTGCATATTTATTTTGGCTAACTTCTTGAAAATTTAGCATTTTTTTCTTTCTTTCTTTTTTTTTTTGTGAGCTGGAGTCTTGCTCGGTCACCCAAGCTGGAGTGTAGTGGCACGATCTCAGCTTATTACAACCTCCGCCTCCTGGGTTCAAGCAATTCTCCTGCCTCAGCCTCCAGAGTAGTTGGGACTTTAGGCACGTGCCACCACGCCCGACTAATTAGCATTTTTTTCATCGATGAATGTAGGTAATATTAGTACTTGTGACTTTGTCACTAACAGAAAATGTAGCTATTTTCATATCACATGAAAGTTTTTGCAGTTATCTTAAAATACTCCTTACATTTATCATTACACTGAAATTATGGCAGTGATTAGACCCTTCAGTAGATCTTGTTGTTTAACGGGTCAGTAAGGAAGCACATGTGTTACTAGATTGAAAACTTGGTTTGTAATATTTTGATAACTTAATTTCAATATAATTGGTTTCCTTTTATGGTAGGCAGAATAATGTCACTTCAAAGATGTCCATATCCTAATTCCTAGAACCTCTGAACCCCCAGAACCTAACACGCCAATAGGAATTTGTTGGGTGTGATGCGATGTGTGTGAGGTGTGATGAAGGAGGCAGGGGTGGAGTGATGCGAGCCACTAGCCAAGGAATTTGGTCAGCTTCTAGAAGCTGGAAAAGGACAGGAAATGGGTTTTCCCCAAGAGCTTCCAGAAGAAACACAGCATTGCCAACCCAATTTAGACTTCTGAACTTCAGTATTGTAAAATAATAAATCTGTGCTGTTTTACACCATGAAGCGATGGTAATTTGTTATAGCAGCAATAGAAAACGAATACACCATTGTAAGCCTGTTTATTTGATTAAATATTTTTCCTGTATAATTTTTTTTTTTTTTTTTTTGCATTTAAGTAAATGTTATTCTGAGAAGGGGTCTATAGGCTTCACCAGATGTAAAAGGGTCGTGGCATGTAAGAGGTCTGTCTCATGTCATTGTTAGGATCCTGTTGGCAGTGGTGGGAGTGCCTGAAAGCATTTGGGTTGGAAAATCCATCCCAGAGAACCATGTCCCTATGTGGTGGGTCACAAGATCTGAGCCAGAGTGTGGGAGGGAGGGGCCAGCAGGAGGGTACCCTGTGAATACACCCAGGTTCAAGCTCAGGGTTCTGCTGTCTGGTCCTGCTGGCCTGGCCTGGCTTGGCCTTGGAAGGGCTCAGTGGCCCTGGGGAATCCAGTGTTGTCTTAATGTAGTATACTATAAACAGAGTTGTGAATGAGCCTCCATGTTCTAGAATGAGGAAGGCAGGGTCTTGGGTGTATGTGGAGGGTGAGGTTCTGAGTCATGGACTCTTCTAGTTAAGCAGATCCCCTCTATATTCATTTTCTGGTTTTGGCAACAAATCACTCTAAAATTTAAAAGTAATGGATCTGAAAGTAATGATATATTATTTTCCACAATTCTGTGGTTGGCGGGCAGTTCCTGTGGCTTTGCCTGGGCTCACCTGCAAGGCTGCAGTCAGCAGGTGAGTGGGCTGGGGGCTGGCTGGCCCTGGAGGGTCTCGCTCACATGTCTGGAGCCTCTGCAGGAAGGTTTGGAATGTCTGGGATGGTGTGGCTAGTTTCTCCAGGTGGCCACTGATCCTTAGGGAGTCCAGCATAGACTTCCTTACCTGTCTGCCTCAGGGCAGCAAAAGATCCAGAGCAGAACTGGCAAGGGCTCTAGAGGCCAAGGCTGAAAAGCCACGTGGTATCACCTCCATTGCATTCAAAAGCCCGTCGCAGGACCAGTGTAGATTCTCGGTGAGAAGAGTGGCACCATCCTGGGGTGTGCCTCCAAGGGCAGGAGGGATAGATGCAGCCAGCTTTGCAAATGATAGACCCCACTATTTCTTTCAATCTCTTGTTCAAGGTCTTCCCCAAAGGGATTCATCCCACCTGTAGATGCCACAGGCCCAGTCCTGCTTCTGCCCTGAAGCTTTCTCCTTTCCCTGCTGTTTACGTAGCTCTACTGGTGATAGTTACAGTTTTACTAAACTACAGACTATAATAAGATTTCAGCAGTTTTTCCATTAATATTCTAAATGCTTTAGTCATTTTGTCTTCTTAGTCTCTTCGAATCTTGTGATGATTTCTTAGTTTTTCCTTGTTTTCCGTGACCTTAACTCTTTTGGAGAGTAGTAGTCAAGTATTTTGTGGAATGCCCTTCAATTTGGGTTTGTCTTATGTTTTTCTCATGAAAATCATCAGTCCAGGGCTATGGAATTTGGGAAGAACACAAGAGGGAAGTGCCCTTCTCATCCCTTCATATCAAGGGGTCCATGATACCATCATGAAATACACACATTGGACCGGGCATGGTGGCTCACGCCTGTAATCCCAGCACTTTGGGAGGCCGAGGTGGGCGGATTGCCTGAGTTCAGGAGTTCGAAACCAGCCTAGGCAACATGGCGAAACCCCATATCTACAAAAAATACAAAAATTAACCAGGCGTGCTGGAGGGTGCCTGTAATCCCAGCTCCTCGGGAGCAGAGACAGGAGAATTGCTTGAACCCAGGAGGCAGTGAGCCGAGATTGTGCCACTGTACTCTAGCCTGGGAGACAGGGCAAGACTCTGACTCAAAAAAAAAAAAAAAAAAAAGAAATACACACATTGAAAGTTTATACTCACTGAGATTTGACCACTGTCAAGATGTAAAACACTGTTCTACTGATTTTTATGACTCACTGTTGGGTTGCAAACAGGACTTCAAATAATCTGACCTTAATGCAAGGCAGAAGTAGAAGCCCTGGGGCATAAATATAGTATTTTCAAGCCTCCCTCCTTTTGCTTCTAGGCCCCAGAGACCTTCTTCCTGTCCACCCTCAACCCAAGCCACTTCCCTCTACTCCCTGCAGACCACATCTGCTCTTAATCTGCCCTAGAAGGTGAGGAGGTCACTTCCTAGTGACATACACTGGTCACTTAGTCACCTGCTTCTTCTTTAGCAGCTGTATCAAGGGAGGCAGATGCCTAGAACCTTCTTAATTATTCTGGAGGCTACTAGTGCTATATGACCTCATCATACATGTTTGAATTAATTTTTAGTTGATAAAATACTTTTCCTGTAGGTCCAGTCCTCTCAACCACCCACTGAGGTGGTCAGGGATTATGATGCTAGTTTGTCCTATGTGAAAATGGAGGCTCAGAGAGGTGGAGGTAACTGGCCCAAGACTCTGGAGCTGAGGGGTGCTGGAGCTGGGATTTGAACTTTGGCATCCTGACTCCTGCCGGCCCGTCTGAGGCTGAGTGGGCAGCAGAGTGGGTTATCCCTGGGGTCCATTCATCATTTATAGTGTTGTGTCCACGGGGAGGCTGTGTTCTGGGTCCCAAACGCTCGCTGTCTGGGAGACTGGCAGCATGTGAAAAGGGCCTCCCTTCGCAGACTGCAGGGACCTTCCTGCACTTGTTTCCAGGATGGCCTGACCTTACTGCACTGCGCAGCCCAAAAAGGCCATGTGCCTGTGCTGGCGTTCATAATGGAGGACCTGGAGGATGTGGCCCTGGACCACGTAGACAAGGTGAGAGTGCCTCAGGGCTACTCATCATTCCCATTGGGCGGGGGGCTCCTGGGGCCACTCTTGCCCACTGAGCTTACCACATTCCTTGGGTGCATCCTTTGATCTGTGGGCATATTGCACCTGGCCTGGGGAGCCGCTGGTTGGGAAGAGGTGTTGGGGCACAAACGAGCAGAATACAAGCAGAACACAGTCAGTTGCCGCAGAGAGGCCCTGATCAAGGACTAGGTGGGTTAGAAAAGCAAGCCATTGCTTCTGCTTCCTGGAGGAGGTGGCATTTGGTAAATAAACTGGATTTGTGGGTAAGATTGGAAATCAGGGGTTGGAAGGGGCACCAAATGGAAGAGCGAGGCTTGTGGGAGCTTTAGGGACAGGAAAGGGCTCTAGTGTGAGTTCTGAGGGGCTGGAATCTTAGGAGGGAAGGTCTGATGGGTGGTTGGAGGTCCCTCTGGAGATCTCAACCCCCATCCTCAAGGATCTGTTTATTCATTAGACAGCAAGGAGCCACCTAAGGACTGGCCAGGGAGGGACCCCAGCAAGTGGCTCTCGTTGGGAAGTTGGGTCTGGGCTTTCCAGGCAGGGTGTGGGAAGGCAAGTGGAGAGGACAGTGTCTGGGGCAGGAGAGGCCACTGCAAAGCCAGAGTGGTTGGGAAACAGAGGCCAGGTGGGCAGAGGCAGGTATGCCCACTGACAGAGTGAGGAAGGCTCACACCACTTCTCCTCCTGGCCAGCTGGGGAGGACGGCGTTTCACCGGGCAGCTGAGCACGGGCAGCTGGATGCTCTGGATTTCCTCGTGGGCTCTGGCTGTGACCACAGTGTCAAAGACAAGGTACTGTGTCCGTGAGGCTCTGGGATCCTGACCAGGGTGCAAAACTTGCCAGCTTCCAGGCTCTGGCTCCTCACCTGTGTCCACGTCTGACTCCCATTGTGCTTGAGGGCCATGTGGCCCAAAGACGAGAGCGTATTTAGTGTTCATCCAGCAGGCCCTTCACTAGCATGCATTATGGGCCAGCCCTATGCTACAGGTTGGTGGCAAAAAGATGCCCAAGACACCGTTTCTTACTCGAGGAACTCAGTGCCACAGCCATAGTAAGGATTTCTGATCTGACGTGGCTGGCCAGGGTGGCAGATCTGGGTGGTTGGTAGTGTTGCCTGGAGTGCGTTGAGCAGGGCTGTAATCTACTGGGGCTGTCTGTTGTTGGCAGACGTGGGGAAGTGTTAGGGGGTGGTAGCCACACAACTGCTCTGCTATGGTTATGGCAGGAATAGGATGGGAGCATGGAGGAGGGAACGCATCATTCAGGGCTTGTAAGCAGTGTTTCACCAATCTGAGAAGGGGCAAGTGATGGGGACCGGAGGGTCTACCCTATAAATGACTCTTATCATTGGACCCTTGCAAATCATTAGGGAAAATATATTACAGCAAATTCTTTTTTTTTTGAGGTGGAGTCTCACTCTGTTGCCCAGGCTGGAGGGCAGTGGTGTCATCTTGGCTCACTGCAACTTCCGCCTCCCGGGTTCACACCATTCTCCTACCTCAACCTCCCTAGTAGCTGGGACTATAGGTGTCCGCCACCATGTCCGGCTAATTTTTTTGTATTTTCAGTAGAGATGGGGTTTCACCGTGTTGGCCAGGATGGTCTTGATCTCCTGACCTCGTGACCCGCCCACCTTGGCCTCCCAAAGTGCTGGGATTACAGGCGTGAGCCACCACGCCCGGCCTGTTACAGCAAATTCTAAATGATGCCTCCAACAAAGAGATTAACTCCATTATTAATCTTCTGGTTAATGTGCTTGGCCAGGATAGAGGGAGTTCTATGTATACTGAAGTGATAGAGAGCTCACACACAAATCCACTGCTGGGTCTTGGAACTGGAAGGCGTCTGAATTCAGCCTTCTCGTTTTACAGCTGTGGAAACTGATGCCCAGAGAGGGAGATGCCTTAGCCAAGGTCACACAGCGAGACACAGGTAGAGCTGGATTTGGAAGCAGCATCCTAATGCATAAAGCTGTGCTCCTCCCCATACCAGGCTGCCTCCTGGGCTGGACCCCCTTGGGTTCTGCACTGAGTCCATCCACACTCATCCTTTTGGGTTGAGCAGGTGGTTGAGCAAGGCACTGGGCCAGGAACTGGGCATACAGAGAATGGGGAGGGCAGCACCTGCCAGGACTGGCTAACCCAAGAGGCAAAATGATCACACCTCAGGGCCCCAGGAGAGCATGAGCATCAAGAATAGAGAACGAGAACATACAGCTTTGATGAACTTCTCCAGAATCTTGCAATCAGAAATTCTGCAAAGAAGCTTTTAAAACTGCATACCCCTGTTAAGTTTTGTGTTTTCAGAATAGGAGTGTTTTCATTTTCAGTTTCATCTGGGGAGGGGGCACAGTAAGTTTTTCAATGCCTGCTAAGGGGATAGACCTCTTAGAGTCAATGACAACACAGGTCACTCCACGTGTGCTCTAGAATGCTAGGGAGGCTTTGAGAGCCCAGAGAGAGCGACTAACTCCACTTGGAAGGGTGAAGTGTTGCTGTCAAGGCCTCACAGAGGCGGAGATGCTGGACGTCCCCAAGGTGGAGGGGAGAGGACCCTGGGCCCACGCCAAGGCTACCTTCTGCCCAGCTCTCCTGCCTCTGAGCCCCCTGCCCTGCCCAGGAAAGTGTGAGCGCCTGTCAGGCATCCATGTGTGCCACCTGCAGCTTCAAATGCCAGAACATGGATATTTATAACCCAGAAGGAAGAAGAAAGCCCCACCATTGCCTCTACACCCTGTTAACTGGGGGCATGTGTTGGCCTTTCACGGTTCACCTGCTTCCTGCGTGTCTCTGAACACAGAGATTTCACACTGTGACTGCATTTCCCACTGCTTGTCCTGGCTTGCAGCAGCCAGCCGACAGGCTACAGGCTGCAGAGAAGCTGGCAAGGAGAGAAAAACAAAGCTGTTGAGGGCTTTTTAACATTACTTTACAATTTTATTATTTTTAGCTGAATTCATTTTTATTTTTTTTTTTTTTGAGACAATATCTTACTCTGTTGCCCAGGCTGGAGTGTAGTGGCGCAATCACAGCGCATTGCAGCCTCAACTTCCCATGCTCAAGCAATCCTCCTGCCTCAGTCTCTCCAGTATCTGGGACTACAGGCGCGCACCACCACATCTGGCTAATTTTTGTATTTTTTGTAGAGATGGAGTCTCACTATATTGCCCAGACTGGAATTCCTAGACTCAAGCTATCTGCCCACCTCAGCCTCCCAAAGTGCTGGGATTACAGGTGTGAGGCACCATGCCCGGCAGGGAGATCCCTTTAAAGGACAACCCCAAGCAGGCTGACCTCAGCAGGGGCCACTTCAAATACAGAGTACGTTGCACCCTCTGCCCTGCCCAATGCAGCTGCTTCTCTTGGCTATGTCACTGTCACCTTTAGACTTTCCAAGTGCAAAGCAACTACCAGTCCTCTGGCCTTCAAGTTCCAGGGACACATATCAGGCTCTCCACATGATCCCCTGAAGACCCTCCTACATTATTGACTCATTGAACAAACATCTACTGAGTGTTGGCCATGTGCCCCAGGCCCTATTCTAGGCACTTAAGGAAACTTCAGAAAACAAAATAGATGCCCCTGTGGTGCTTATGTTCCAGCAACAAGGGTCAAACATGTGGAATGAATCCAAATGCCCATCAGTGATAGACTGGATAAAGAAAATGTGGCACATATACACCATGGAATACTATGCAACCATAAAAAGGAATGAGATCATGTCCTTTGCAGGGACTTAGATGAAGCTGGAAACCATCATTCTCAGCAAACTAACACAGGAACAGAAAACCAAACACTGCATGTTCTCACTCATAAGTGGGAGCTGAACAATGAGAACCACATGGACACAGGGAGGGGGACAACGCACACCGGGGCCTGGTTTGGGGGGCGAGGGGAGGAAGAGCATCAGGATACATAGCTAATGCATGCGGGGCTTAATACCTAGGTGACGGGTTGATAGGTGCAGCAAACCACCATGGCACACATTTACCTATGTAACAAATCTGCACATTCTGCACATGTATCCCAGAACTTAAAGTAAAATAATAAAGAAAAAAGAGTCAGACGATAAACACTAAGCACACAGCCACTGACAGAGTGTGTTGGCAAGGTGATCTGTGCAGTGGGGAGAGGAAAAGCAGGGCAGGAAAATAGGCTCAGGACGACAGAGGTGGGGTTTGCAGTTTCAGAGTGTGGCCCGGGCAGGCCACGCTACTCAATAAGAAACTAACATCTCACACAGAGACTTGAAGGAGGCAGGTGACTGAACCAAGCAGCTGCCTGGAACAGCCTGAGCTCAGGGAAGAGTTGCTGGGGCCTTGAGCAGTGAGAGGAGATGGATTTGGGGGACCTGAGGAGGGACTGGCTTCAGATGGGCACGTGGAAAGTAGAATTGGTTTTGTTTAATTTTTAAGCAATGTGCCTGCCTTGAAGTATAAGGAAAGAAAGACCAGGGCTTGGCCCTGCAATCTGCCCCTGGTTGTAGTTTTTGGCACAGCTGTCAGGAGCAGGGTGGCACTGACCCAGTGTGCATGGCTGCAGCTCATCACAGGTCTATGATTCTGGGGCTTTCTGGTCTGCTGGCCTCTCAGGAACCCTTTTTCCTGCAGGAGGGGAACACGGCCCTTCATCTGGCTGCTGGTCGGGGCCATATGGCTGTGCTGCAGCGACTTGTGGACATCGGGCTGGACCTGGAGGAGCAGAATGCGGTGAGTCACCACCTGGGGGATGGCGAGATGCATGACCCTTGCTTGCTGTCTGCCTTTGAGGAACCCCCACCAATCCATGGTGCAGTCTAAAGCCAGGAGGCTGAGGGCATGATTTCAAATGAGAGCCCACCAGGGAAAGACAAGCAGCAGCACTGAACTCCAGGCTTAATGGTGGCACTTGGCAGGACAGATCACCAAATAAGTGAGACACAGAGTGTGTGTTCAAAGAAGGGAGACATCGCCAGGATGGTGAGGGAGGGCTTGCTGGAGTAGGAGGAAACAGACAGAGCGGGAGGGGTGTGGAACGTGAGCAGAGATGTGGAGCCAGGAGTGGCTATGCCATGTGTGTGCTCCACAAAGTGAGGACTTCAGGGGTGGGGCTCATGGGATCACAAACAAGAAAGCTCATTTTTCCCAGGGGCAGGGCCGTGGAGAGCTCAAGGGGCCCTGGGGCCAAGGCACAAGGGGCATCCTCTCACGGTGGGATTGGGGGTCACTTGGGTGGGCCTCCCCACCATCCTCATTGCTCTACTTATGTGTTGCAGGAAGGTCTGACTGCCCTGCATGTGGCTGCTGGAGGGACCCACCCTGACTGTGTGCGGCTTCTCCTCAGGGCTGGGAGCACCGTGAATGCGCTCACCCAGGTAGCCAGGCCCTCCCAAGACTGCGGTCTGCTCTTGTCTGCTGAGCCATAGCCGTGTCGGCAGTAATGGCCACAGTGATTCCTGAACCCTGAGTGAACAGAGGCTTCGAGGCAGCAGGCCAGGTTCTGATCTTGGCTTCTCCACTGCTGAGCCCTGTGACCCGGAGCAGGTTACTTAACCTCTCTGAGCCTTGTTTCCCAATTATAAAGTGGGATGACATTTACTTTTTTACATTATTGTGAGGATTAAATATCTAACACAGTGCCCAGGACATAATAGGGCCCAACACCTCAACACCTCAACACCTGTTAGTGTTTTTTTGGTTTTTCTTTTGAGATGGGTCTTACTCTGTCACCCAGGCTGGAGTGCAATGGTGTGATCTTGGCTCACTGCAACCTCCGCCTCCTGGGTTCAAGCAGTTTTCCTGCCTCAGCCTCCCAAGTAGCTGGGACTACAGGTGTGTACCACCACGCCCGGCTAATTTTTGTATTTTTTTGGTAGAGATGGGGTTTCACCATGTTGGCCAGGCTGGTCTTGAACTCCTGACCTCAAGTGATCCGCCCGCCTCAGCCTTCCAAAGTGCTGGGATTATAGGTGGGAGCCATTGCACCTGGCCCTGTTAGTGTCTTCTATTTGTTGAGCTCTTGATAGTTTACAAAGCCCCTTCATAACTGTTACCTCAGGAAAATTCCACCCATTTTGCAGATGAGAAAACTGGAGCTTTGAGGGCATTTTCGCAGGATCACAAGCTAGTATGAGGCAAAGTTGAGTCTCAAAAGCCTGTTCCCCTGGCTCCAGAGCTCCCACCCACTGATGAAGCTTTCCCCTGACAGAGCTGGGGCTTGGGGTATGGCCCCGGATGAACCTCTTCTCTTTCTCCCCATTGTACTCATCAATTCTGCCAGTAGAAATTCTCCTCTATGACCTGGAAAGTGGGGTTGTGGCCTTTCTTTAGGTAGTGAGTTGGTGTTTTTGCTTTGCTTTTTATTTTTGTATCAGTGACAAATAACTTTTTTGGTGGTTGAATGGCTTCAGGTTCTGGAATTCTTGCTTTGTTCTAAATGTCAATAGTATAGCAAAAATATTAATAATAAATAAAACAATATAAATAATAGCAAAAATACACAGGCAGTTCAAAAACAGAGAATTAAAATGTTATGACAAAAAATATTTATTTCCCTACTGCTTAATTTGACTGGCTTTGAAAAAAAAGGCTGGGCAAGGTGGCTCATGCTTGTAACGCAGCACTCTGGGAGCCAAAGCTGGAAGATTGCTTGAGCCCGGGAGTTTGAGGCTGCAGTGAGCTATGATTGCACCACTGTACTCCAACCTGGGCGACAGAGTGAGACCCTGTCTCAAGAAAAAAAAAGAGAGAGACTGGGAAGGTTGCACCCAGCTGCGTGGCCACTGGGTGGGGGGCTGGAGCTGCTCATCATGCCAGGACTTGGGCTTCAGCCTCAGCTTGCGGTTTCTGGCAGAGGCCACATTCCCACCCCTCCCAGAATGTCGTGCTGCAGGGTCTCGGAGGAGGTGCCAAGCCCACGGTGACTGCATTTCCTATTGGGAGATGGACTGAGTCCCACACACCCCAGGTACTCAGTTGGGACTTTAGCAGGGTGGCTAGCTAGTCCTGGTTTGCCCCATACTGTCCTGATTTTAAAATGGAAAGTCCCACATCTCAAGAACTCCTCAATCCTGGGCAAACTGAGACAGTGGGTCACCCTAGTGGGGCCTGTCTGGTATGTGCCTTGTGCAAGGTGATGATTGGGCTGGGCTGGGCTCTGACTGAAAGAGAGCACTTTGAGGCCCACCGAGACCAAGCCTCCATTCTGGCCCTGCCAGGATCCTGTTTGGATGCACCAAGACCAGCTTGTGTTGGGCAGTGCATGCTGGGTGGAGTTTGCTCTGTGTTGGCAAATCTTACTTGTCTTCCTCTTTAAAAACCACCTCCTGGCCAGGCATGGTGGCTCACGCCTGTAATCCCAGCACTTTGGGAGGCCGAGACTGGTGAATCACAAGATCAGGAGTTCAAGACCAGCCTGGCTAACACGGTGAAACCCCATCTCCACTAAAAATATAAAAATTAGCTGGGCGTGGTGGTGGGTGCCTGTAATCCCAGCTACTCGGGAGGCTGAGGCAGGAGAATTGCTTCAACCTGGGAGGTGGAGGTTGCAGTGAGCCAAGATTGTGCCACTGTACTCCAGCCTGGGTGACAGAGTGAGACTCTGTCTCGGGAAAAAAAAAGAAAACCACCTCCTTAGAGTCAATCAACTGCATGTCTTTACCAGCCATAGACTTGGGCAGGCTTTGGTCTACATTCTTGCATTTGTGATAGGAGGTGAGGAAAAGACTGAGACCATAGTGAGTTCCTTTTACTGGTCACCAGGCCTGGGAAAGTCATTGATTTTTCCAGCCTCAGTTTAATGGGGATAATACTCCCAGCGGACACTCAGATGGAAAAATGAATCTCAAAGAGCTTTGCAAACCTCAGTAGGAGGGGGCCTTGTGATATTGCATTGATGCCTGTTTCCTTCTAGAAAAACCTGAGCTGCCTTCACTATGCAGCCCTCAGTGGCTCGGAGGATGTGTCTCGGGTCCTCATCCACGCAGGAGGCTGCACCAACGTGGCTGATCATGTAAGCGTGGGTGCGAGGGTTGAAGGGGGTCTCCATTGCAAAGCCTTCCATGAGCACACTGATGAAGCACAAGGAGAAACGGAAACATCGGATACTTGGGGTTGGGGTGTGGACCAGGAGCAGGGGAGCCGGCAGCACTTAGGAGAGTGAAATACTGTTGTAGCTGTAATAGGATTAGAAACCAAGCTTGCAATTCCTCTGAACTGAACTATCAGCTCCTGTTCTCTGCTCATTTATGCACTGGGGCTTTTTTTTTTTTTTTTGACCGAGTCTTGCTCTGTTGCCCTGGCTGGAGTGCAGTGGTGCAATCTCGGTTCACTGCAGCTTCTGCCTCCTAGGTTCAAGCAATTTTCCTGCCTCAGCCTCCTGAATAGCAGCTGGAACTAGAGGCACACACCACCACGCCTGGCTAATTTTTTTTGTATTTTTGGTAGAAAAATACATGGGGTTTCACCATGTTGGCCAGGCTGGTCATGAACTCCTGAGTCAAGTGATTCGCCTGCCTCAGCCTCCCAAAGTGCTGGGATTACAGGCATGAGTCACTGTGCCAAACCTAGGCATTGGGTTTTACTATTTATCTTTTATGTTGCCTATCTGTCCACTTAAATGTTAATCTTCTTCCTGTTATACATTTGGTCCACACACAGGAACTGTATAATCTTTTGGTTAAAACACAGCCTTTGGGAGTGCAGTGCTTCACACCTGTAATCCCAGCACTATGGGAGGCTGAGGCTAGAGTATTGCTTGAGCTCAGGACTTCAAGACCAGCCTGGGTAATCTAGGGAGATCCCATCTCTACAAAATTTTTTTGAAAAACTGACTGGTCGTGGTGGTGTACATAGGTAGTCCTAGCTACTTGGGAGGCTGAGGCAAGAGGACTGCTTGAGCCCAGGAGGTTGAGGCCACAGTGAGCCATGATCACACTACTGCACTCCAGCCTGGGCAACAGAGTGAGATTCTGTCTCAAAAAAAAAAAAAAAAAAAAAAAAATGGGCTCGGCATGGTGGCGTGAGCCTGTAATCCCAGCACTTTGGGAGGCCAAGGTAAGCAGATTGCTTGAGGCTGGGAGTTCGAGACCAGCCTGGGCAACATGGCGAAACCCCATCTCTACAAAAAATATAGAAAATTAGCCAGGTGTGGCTGGGTGTGGTGACTTACACCTGTAATCCCAGCACTTTTGGAGGCCAAGGCTGGCGGATCATGAAGTCAGGAGGTCGAGACCATCCTGGCTAACACGGTGAAACCCTGTCTCTACTAAAAATACAAAAAATTAGCCAGGCGTGGTGGCAGGCACCTGTAGTCCCAGCTACTTGGGAGGCTGAGGCAGGAGAATCACTTAAACCCAGGAGGCAGAGCTTGCAGTGAGCCGAGATCACACCACTGCACTCCAGCCTGGGCGACAGAGTGAGACTCTGTCTTAAAAAAACAAAAACAAACAAACAAACAAAAGGCCGGGCGTGATGGCTCACGCCTGTAATCCCAGCAGTTTGGGAGGCCGAGGCGGGTGGTCACGAAGTCAGGAGATCAAGAGCATCCTGGCTAACATGGTGAAACCCCGTCTCTACTAAAAACACAAAAAAATTATCCGGGCGTGGTGGTGGGAGCCAGCAGTACCAGCTACTCGGGAGGCTGAGGCAGGAGAATGGCGTGAACCCAGGAAGTGGAGCTTGCAGTGAGCCGAGATTGTGCTGCTGCACTCCAGCCTGGGCGACAGAGCACGACTCTGCCTCAAAAAAAAAAAAAAAAAAAAGAGAGAGAAAGAAAGAAAGAAAGAAAATTAGTCAGGCATAGTGGTGTATCCCTGTAATCCCAGCTACTTGAGAGGCTGAGGCGCAAGAATCACTTGAACCTGGGAGGCAGAAGTTGCAGTGAGCTGAGATCGCTCCACTGTATTCCAGCCTGGGCAACAGAGTGAGACTGTCTCAAAAAAAAAAAAAAAAAAAAAAGTAGTGGGAGTTTCAAATGGTAACTATCTTTCTAGAAGGCAAGTTGACAATAACTATCAAGCTGAATTAAATAATTAAAATTTAAAAATGACAGGCTTTGGTGTTAGGCCTAGCTTTGTATGCTGGCACTAGAAACTGAATAACCTTGGGCAAGCTACTTTGACCTTTTTGGGCCCGTTTCCTTACCTATAAGTACTATTATTATTCCTATTATATAAACAAGGAAACATCTATGGTTTATATCAGAAAGGGATCATTTCTTATAACTAAAACAAGTACTATATTTAAACTTATTATAGAAACAGTATTACACAATTCATCGGAATATAGAGAAGAAAGGCATCCTTGATTCCAAAGCCCTAGTAAAGCAAGGACTTTTTTTTAATGCCCTCCCAGTTTTCCCTGTGTAAAGAGTATCACCTCCAGCTAGAAAGAATTCAGGCTAAATGCTTACTTGTTTCTGCCCATTAAGACACCAGAATCCTGATGCCAGCCCAGTGGTCAAACTATGAAGTTTTCCTGTTACCCACATTGAGTATGTTGTTTTCCTTTTCATTTCAGCTGTTTTCGCTGCCTATTTATTTATTTAATTGTGTCACTTTTATTTGTTGTATTTGCGTTGTTTTTAATACCAAAAGTAACTTGCTGGTAGTAACACTGTCAAAAGACACATTCATAACAAGTGAAGGTGTTGCCAGGTGCAGTGGCTCACACCTGTAATCCCAACACTTTGGAAGGCTGAGGTGGGAGGATTGCTTGAGTCCAGGAGTTCGAGACCAGCCTGGGCAGCATAGTAAGACCCCATATCTACAAAAAATTTAAAAATCAGCCGGGTGTGGTGGTGGATGCCTACTTATAGTCCCAGATCCTCTGGGGGCTGAAGTTTAAGGATCACTTGAGCCGAGGAGGTTGAGGCTGCAGTGAGTTGTGATCACACCACTGCACTCCAGACTGGGTAACAGAGTGAGATCTTATCTCTAAAAAAAATTAAAATTAAAAAAAAAAGTCCCACAAATCATTACAAAGTTAAAAAACAAACAACACAAGAGAAAAATGGCCAAAGGTTATGAAGAAAAATTTGGTAGAAAAGGAAACACAGAGGACTCTTAAGAGAAATGCAGGCCGGGCCCAGTGGCACATGCCTGTAATCCCAGCACTTTGGGAGGCCGAGGCGGGCGGATCATGAGGTCAGGAGATTGAGACCATCCTGGCTAACTCGGTGAAACCCCGTCTCTACTAAAAAATATCAAAAATTAGCTGGGCGTGGTGGTGGGCGCCTGTAGTCCCAGCTACTCGGGAGGCTGAGGCAGGAGAATGGCGTGAACCCGGGAGGCGGAGCTTGCAGTGAGCTGAGATCGTGCCATTGCACTCCAGCCTGGGCGACAGAGCGAGACTTCATCTCAAAAAAAAAAAAAAAAAAAAAAAGAGAAATGCAAATTAATGCTACATGGAGATACAATTCTTCACTCATTAGGTTGGCAAAAATCCAAAAGTTTTGCCAAGCGGATTGACAAAGCTGTAGGGAAATAGGCACCTTCATATATTACTGGAAAGAGTAGAAATTGGTACAATCTGTTCAGAGGGCAATTTATCAATATGTATAAAACATACAAATACATGTGCCCTTTGACTCAACAAATCTAGGAATTTATTGTACAGACATACTTCCACATGTATGGAATGAAAATATGTACAAGGTTTTTGCTGCACTATCATTTGTAATAGCAAAATATTGAAACCCATGTTTAGGAGACAATGTAATAAATTATGTCCCATCCCTGCAATGGAATACTGTGTAACTATAAAAAAGAATGAGGACTGCTGGGTGGCACGGTGGCTCACGCCTATAATCCCAGCACTTTGGGAGGCCAAGGCAGGCGGATCATGAGGTCATGAGTTCGAGACCAGCCTGGCCAACATGGTGAAACCCCATCTCTACTAAGTGCAAAAAATTAGCCGGGCGTGGTAGCGCACGCCTGTAGTCCCAGCTACTCAGGAGGCTGAGGCAGAAGAATCGCTTGAACCCAGGAAGCAGAGGTTTCAGTGAGCCGAGATTGTGCCACTGTACTCCAGCCTGGGTGACAGAGTGAGATTCCATCTCAAAAAATAAATAAATAAAAATAAATAAATAAAAATAAAAATAAATAAAAAATAACGAGGACAGTTATCAAAATATGTACTTGTATGGAAAGACCTTAAAGATATAGTTATGTGAACAAAGCAGGGTGCAAATTCTCTACTACAAGGAAACAGGATTCTTTGGGAAAATGGCTAAGTCTAGGACTAGGGCAGGGAATACTAACATATAGGGTGAGTCTGGAGCATCTTGTAGTGCCAGAAAGTAAAGGCGTACTGGCGGGTGCCTGTAGTCCCAGCTACTCGGGAGGCTGAGGCAGGAGAATGGCGTGAACCCGGGAGGCAGAGCTTGCAGTGAGCCGAGATCACGTCACTGCACTCCAGCCTGGGTGACAGAGGAAGACTCCATCTCAAAAAAAAAAAAAAAAAAAAAAAAAAAGAAGAAAATATGTCCAACTGATTTTTATTGAAGATGCAAAAGCAATTCAGTGGAGGAAGGTTTGATAGCCTTTTCAAAAAATGGTACTGAAGCAACTGTACATCCACAGGCAAAAAAATGAGCCTCAACTAAAATCTCACACCTTATACAAAATTAACTCAAAATGGATCACAGACTTAAATGTAAAACTATAAAGCTTTTAGAAAAAATATAAAGAGGGCTGGGCGCGGTGGCTCAAGCCTGTAATCCCAGCACTTTGGGAGGCCGAGACAGGCGGATCACGAGGTCAGGAGATCGAGACCATCCTGGCTAACACGGTGAAACCCCATCTCTACTAAAAAATACAAAAAAAATTAGCCGGGCGAGGTGGCAGGCGCCTGTAATCCCAGCTATTCGGGAGGCTGAGGCGTGAACCTGGGAGGCAGAGCTTGCAGTGAGCTGAGATCCAGCCACTGCACTCCAGCCTGGGCAACAGAGCAAGACTCTGTCTCAAAAAAAAAAAAAAAAAAAATATATATATATATATATATAAGGAGGAAAATTTTTGGATCTAGGGTTGGGCCAAAGAGTTCTTAGACTTGACATCAAAAACATGATCCATAGGAGCAAAAATTTGATTAATTGGACCTCATTAAAATTTTTTGTGAGCAAAAGATCCTTTTGCTCTGCAAAGGATCTGTTAAGAGGATGAAAAAACAAGCTACGGACCAAGAGAGAAGATTTGCAAATCACGTGTCTTACAAAGGCTAGTGTGTAGAGTATATAAAGAGCTCTCAAAACTCAAGGTAAAAAAAAAAATGGGCTAAAGACATGAATAGACATTTCACTGAAGAGGATATACAGATGGCAAATAAGCACATGAAAAGATGTTTAACAGCATTAGCTATTAGGGAAGTGTAATATGATATACTATGATATACTACTTTTTGAGATATACTGCATTTTGAGAAATACATTATGATATACTACTTTTCAGAATGCTTAAAATTAACAAATTATGACAAAAATATTTGACAGATGGGAGAGAGCTTTAGGTAAGAGGATGGTCTCCACCGTGCACGGTGGGGATAGATTGATAGATAGATAGATAGATAGATAGATAGATAGATAGATAGATAGATTTTTTTTTTTTTTTTTTTTTTTTTTTAGACATAGTCTCGCTCTGTCGCCCAGGCTGGAGTGCAGTGGCGTGATCTCAGATTACTGCAAGCTCCGCCTCCCGGGTTCACACTATTTTCCTGCCTCAGCCTCCTGACTAGCTGGGACTATAGGCGCCCGCCACCAATCCCGGCTAATTTTTTGTAATTTTTTTTTTAGTAGAGATTGGGTTTCACCGTGTTAGCCAGGATGGTCTCAATCTCTTGACCTTGTGATCCACCTGCCTCCACCTCCCAAAGTGCTGGGATTACAGGCGCGAGCCACTGCGCCCAGCCTAGATAGGTAGATTTTTTAGAGACAAGGTCTCACGCTGTTGCCCAGGTTGGATTGCAGTGATAGGATCATGGCTCGCTGCAGTCTCGTCCTCTTGGGCTCAAGCAATCCTCCTGCCTCAGCCTCCCAGGTAGCTGGGACTAAGGTGTGCACCAGTATGCTCAGCTAATTTTGTTTTAAATTTCTTGTAGAGACAGGGTCCCACTATGTTATCCAGGCTGATCTCGAACTCCTGGGCTCAAGTGCTCCTCCCACCTTAGTCTCCCAAAGTACTGGGATTACGGGTGTGAGCTACCACACCTGGCCTTGCCATTTCTTTATGTCTTCTTTTATATCCCTAAGTGATGTTATATAGCTTTGGTTTACCTTTGTCTTATTCATTTCTAATTATATCCTTCATAATTAGTTTATTTTTTTGGCTGTCATTGTGACTAGAATATCTTTTTTAAAATTTTATGTCATTTCTCGTAAGCATTCAATACAAGAATGCTACTGAAGAGTATTTTTGTCTTCTATATGATTTTATTCTACTAGGATTTTTGGTGGGGAAAGGTGTCCTAGTCCATTTTGTGTTGCTATAACTGAATACTATAGACTGGGTGACATAAAGAATAGAGATTTATTTAGCTCATGGTTCTAGAGGCTGGGAAGTCCTAGAACATGGTACTAGCCTCTTGTAAGGGACTTCCTGCTGTGTTGTGACATGATGGAAGGCATCACACGGTAAGACAGAGCAACTGTGCAAGCTCTGTGTAAATATACAATTACATGTCTCAAATAATTTTTTGTTCAAACCTTCTTTTTTTTTTTTTTTTTTTGAGAGGGAGTCTCGCTCTGTCACCCAGGCTGGAGTGCAGTGGCCGGATCTCAGCTCACTGCAAGCTCCGCCTCCCGGGTTTACGCCATTCTCCTGCCTCAGCCTCCCGAATAGCTGGGACTAGAGGCGCCCGCCACCTCGCCTGGCTAGTTTTTTGTATTTTTTAGTAGAGACGAGGTTTCACTGGGTTAGCCAGGATGGTCTCGATCTCCTGACCTCGTGATCCGCCTGTCTCAGCCTCCCAAAGTGCTGGGATTACAGGCTTGAGCCACCGCGCCCGGCCCAAATCTTCTAATATTGATAACACTCCATACCCACTGGCCTAAATTAGTAATGGCAATAATGGGCATTTTTGTTTTATGTGTGTGTGTATTCTGTTCTGTAACCCTTTTATAGCTCAATATATGAAGATGTTTTCCACAATAAGTATTAGTTTCTAATATCAATTGTATTGGCCTTGTATTATTCCACAGTATGTGTGTCACTATATCACCTAGAGAGGAGGGAGTATCCCCTCTTTGTCATTTACTCAGGGGGCCATAGGAGACTATTGAGGATGGTGTCTTCCACTGTTGAAGGAGAGTTGAACTTGGAGTGAGGTATCTTTTCTGGTCCCAGCTGGCTCTCTCATTCATTCATTTTCTACACAAATAGTTATCAGGTACTAGGTACCTAGGTACTGGGGGTGGGGACGCAGTGGGAGTAGAAAGTCCAATAAGACATAGTTCTTATTAGCTATGTATCCTTGGGTAAGTGACTTAAGTTTTCTGAACTTCAGTGTTTCTGTTTGTAAGATGAAGATACTAATAAGAACACCATCCCTATATACTTCCTAGGTTGATGTGTGGATTAAATGAGATGTCAGAGAATCTTCAGGTATTGTTGCTAGGAGGGACCATGACAAACCTCACTTGCCAGATGAAGAGTAGCAGAGAAGGGAAATGACTTGCCTGAGGTCACATAGTGAGTTCCTGACATAGCAGGGTCTCACCCTTGGGTCTTCAGACTCTCACCCATCTGGAGGATCAGTTTGGAGCTCCAGGAATTCAAGCTTTGGGACCTTAATTGCCTAAGGCCATCCATGTCAGCCAAGAAGCTAAAAGGGCCAAACCCAGAAGCACTATACCCTTCCCTCCTCCTGTCCCCAGCACCAGCCTGGAGCTGGGCAGTCCTGGGAGGGACTCGTCGATTGATCCGTGTATCTCCTCCCACAGCAGGGTGCCTCTCCTCTGCACCTCGCTGTGAGGCACAACTTCCCTGCCTTGGTCCAGCTCCTCATCAACTCTGACAGTGACTTGAATGCCATGGACAATGTAAGTGGCTACAGAGACCTTCCGGGCCCCAGGGAGCTTCTGGAAACCCTCCCAGGCTGGCAGGCTTGGCTGTGGTCTCCCAGCATGGCCCAGAGTTGAGGAATTGCTTTTTTTTTTTTTTTTTTTTTTTAGCTTTTAAAAGGTAATTTAAATAGTTGTTGAAGGGAATATCATTTTGTTCATCATTCCCCTCTTTTGAACATTTTGGGTGTTCCCAAGTTTTGGCCATGATCTATAACATTGCAGTGAATATCTTTTTACATTCAACCTTTTCCTTTCATTGTTTTTTTTCCTTAGGGAAAATTCCCAGGGCAGGGGTGACTGAGGCAGTCTTGTGTAAAAAGAGGCCTCTGGGCTGGGCGCGGTGGCTCATGCCTGTAATCCCAGCACTTTGGGAGGCCGAGATGGGCGGATCATGAGGTCAGGAGATCGAGACCATCCTGGCTAACACGGTGAAACCCCGTCTCTACTAAAAAAAACACAAAAAATTAGCCGGGCGTGGTGGTGGGCACCTGTAGTCCCAGCTACTCGGGAGGCTGAGGCAGGAGAATGGCGTGAACCCGGGAGGCGGAGCTTGCAGTGAGCTGAGATAAAGCCACTGCACTCCAGCCTGGGCGACAGGGCAAGACTCCGTCTCAAAAAAAAAAAAAAGAGAGGCCTCTGAGTCCTGAAGCTGTGATCAGTAAAGAGCCCTTTTAAATCCTTTCCCCACAATCTACCCACCAACCACATAATTCTCAGTACCAGCAAGGGCATGGCTCACAGAGCCACTGGGAGTCGAAAGCAGTTTGGCAGAATATATCATATACCTTTAAATAATATGTATGAGCACTGCTGGGAACTGAGCCTTGAGAAACATATTAAAAGTTCATGCACAGAGATATTCACTGCAGTATTATTTATCAGTCTTCACTTTGAAAATGGCCTCAATATTTAATAATAGGGAAGTGGTTAGGTAAATTATGGCACAGACACAAATAGGCTATTATGGAGTTATCAAAAATGGTGTTTATCAGAGTTTACAGTACACAAAAAGTGTCATGTTGGGGTAAAAAAAAAAAGATGTAAAATGTACATATAGGATGATCTCATGTATGTAAAACCAATAAACTAAAAACGTTCTGCATTAAAGAAAAGACTAGAAGAAATATACTAGGATGATTGTGGGGGTTGACTTAGGGTGGCAGGCCACCCCATGTGCTTTTCACTTACCTATTCCCTTGGCTTCTCCCCTAGAGGCAGCAGACACCCCTTCACCTGGCTGCAGAGCACGCCTGGCAGGACATAGCAGAGATGCTCCTCATTGCTGGGGTTGACTTAAACCTGAGAGATAAGGTACCTCTGCTTACAACCCATCTCGCTTCAGGCTTTCATGGCTCCCCCTTTGCCAGAGACCCTGCTTCAAATGCCCCCTCCCTCCTCCCTCTCAGGGTGTTCAAGGACTGCCATCCTTTCTATACCAGCCCAAATGCAACCTCCTCCAGGAAGCCTTCCTGACCACCTTCTCCTCTCTCTACTAAGGTCCCTCAGCCTTGGCCCACCCCTCTCTGGTATAGGCCTGTGAAATGATTGCTTTCTCCTTTATGGCCCCCATCAGACTGTGACCTCCTGAGTCGCCTGGTAGGGTTGGGGAGTAGAAGTACTGCCCACAGTACTGTCCAACAACCCCCACATGTGGGACCGGGTTTGGGGAAGCTTCTCAGCTCACTGTGACAGCTATTTCCGCAGGTGCTAGTGGTCTCAGAAGAGCCGAAGACTTGGTATGAGGCTGGGAGGTCACAGGCGTATGGGGAGAAGGGCACCTGCACATGTGACTCAGCGAGGCCAGCCTGGGATGGTGTGGGGTAGAGCTGGCGGCCAGGATCAGATCCTGAAGCTGGACCTAAGAGGGGGCTCCCTGCTTTGAGCTAGGCACCAGGGCAGCTGGCCAGATGGGAAGGGGAGCTTCCCATTTCACTGCAGGTCTGTGGAGGTAACCGTCTGGGAGGCCTAGAGAAAAGGAGGCCTGACGGGAGGTGGACAAAAGTGACATGATAAACCCAAGCCCTCAGGCCGGGCGCGGTGGCTCACGCCTGTAATCCCAGCACTTTGGGAGGCGGAGGCGGGCGGATCACGAGGTCAGGAGATCGAGACCATTCTGGCTAACACGGTGAAACCCCGTCTCTACTAAAAATACAAAAAATTTAGCTGGATGTGGTGGGGCGCCTGTAGTCCCAGCTACTCGGGAGGCTGAGGCAGGAGAATGGCGTGAACCCGGGAGGTGGAGCTTGCCATGAGCCGAGATCATGCCACTGCACTCCAGCCCAGGCGACACAGCAAGACTCCGTATCAAAAAAACAAAACAAAACAAAACCCCACCAAGCCACCATCTCTGGGCTCTGGTTTCTTCATCTGAAAAGTGGGTGGGAACCCCTATTTCACAGGGGATGTTGAAGAGTTAATGAGGGCTGAGTTTCATAAGCTCTAAAGCTTCCTAATTTCTAAAGAAACATAAGAGATGGTCATTGGAATTATGTATTGCTATTGCTTTATTCTATTTGTGACTTTTCCATATCCCCATCATGCCCAGAAAACCAGAAAACCTTTCTGCTCTCAGTGTAGACTGCTGGAAAGCACTTCTTGTGGGCAGGAGGGTTTGTGCTCAGTGCTAGAGGCCCTTTTGTATCCCTTCTGTAGAAACTCTGGCTTCTCTTCTTGCCTCTTAATTGCAGCAGGGAAAAACCGCCCTGGCAGTGGCCACCCGCAGCAACCATGTCAGCCTGGTGGACATGATCATAAAAGCTGATCGTTTCTACAGATGGGAGAAGGTACGGAGGCCTCACGCTTGATCTTTCCTCATTGGAAAGGGAGTGATTTTGGCTCCAGATGAAGCTGGCTTTGAATTCCAGCCCTGACCAATTCTGGGTCCCTCAGGCTCCAAGTAGGTGATAATCACCACCTTGTATGCTACCACAGTTGTTTGTGAGGATCTGGTGATGGGCAAGTGTCCAAACATGCTGAAACAAGGCAGACTGAGGTCCATGCCAGCGTGGAGATATTGCTGGACACTGCTGTGGCGTCCAGCTGACGAATGCATGCATGCGTGAATGCATATGGACGTGTGAAAAAGAGATGGCAGGTGGTTCCATCTCATGCCATCTCCAGGTGATTGAACTGCTGCTTGGGATGTTATGCTCAGGCAACTTTCTGAGTCAGAAGTAAGTGTGCTGGGATTGATTAGCAATGTCTCCTGTGGACTTGGGACAGAGGAGTGGCAGAATGTTGCTATTCCAGTTAGCAAATGGAGGTAGGGAGTTTTCTGGTGTCCTTGGGGGTTGTTTTTATATACAGAAAATAATTTTGCATTTACCTCAGTTTTCAAAGTTAATACAGACGGTCCCCAATTACAATGGTTCAGCTTATGACTTTTCTACTTTATGATGGCACAAAAGCGATACACATTAAGTAGAAACCGTACTTTCAGTACCCGTATAGCCATGCTGTTTGTCACTTCAATATAATATTCAATAAATGACATGAGATATTCAGCACTTTATTATAAAATTGGCTTTGTGTTAGATGATTTGCTCCACTCTAAGCTACGGTAAGTGTACTGAGCACATGTAAGGTAGGCTAAGCTAAACTACGATAGTCTGTAGGTTAGGTAGATTAAATGCATTTTCAACTTTTATGATATATATATTATTTATTTATTTTTTGAGACAGAGTCTCACTCTGTCACCCAGGCTGGAGTGCAGTGGCGCGATCTCCACTCGCTGTAACCTCCGCCTCCTGGGTTCAAGCGACTCTCCTGCCTCAGCCTCCCAAGTAGCTGAGACTACAGGCACGTGCCACCATGCCCGGCTAATTTTTTTTGTATTTTTGGTAGAGACGGGGTTTCACTATGTTGGCCAGGATGGTCTCGATCTCCTGACCTTGTGATCCGCCCACCTCAGCCTCCCAAACTGCTGGGTTTACAGGCGTGAGCCACCGCGCCCGGCCAATTTATGATATTTTTATCAAGACATAACGCCATCATAAGTTGAGGGGCATCTGTATTGAATCTGCTAAATTACACATTTAAAAACCTAGTTTTGGCCGGGCGCGGTGACTCAAGCCTGTAATCCCAGCACTTTGGGAGGCCGAGACGGGCGGATCACGAGGTTAGGAGATCGAGACCATCCTGGCTAACACGGTGAAACCCCGTCTCTACTAAAAATACAAAAAAAAAAAACTAGCCGGGCGAGGTGGCGGGCGCCTGTAGTCCCAGCTACTCTGGAGGCTGAGGCAGGAGAATGGCTTAAACCCGGGAGACGGAGCTTGCAGTGAGCTGAGATCCGGCCACTGCACTCCAGCCCGGGCTAGAGAGCAAGACTCCGTCTCAAAAAAATAAAAAATAAAAAAAAATAAAAACCTAGTTTTTTCTTAAACTTTAAAATTAATTTGATAAATCTTATTATTCTATCTATACAACTAGTAAATTTTTCCAGTCAGTTTCAGGGAAATCTTTTGAGTAATGTTGGGTCCTGTGTTTAAACTTAGTCAAACTACCTTAAACACTGAAACTGAATAAATAAACTTAATATAACAGATTTTCTTTTTTCTTTTTTTTTTTTTTTGAGACGGAGTCTTGCTCTGTCCCCCAGGCTGGAGTGCAGTGGCCGGATCTCAGCTCACTGCAAGCTCCGCCTCCCGGGTTCACGCCATTCTCCTGCCTCAGCCTCCCAAGTAGCTGGGACTACAGGCGCCCGCCACTTCACCCGGCTAGGTTTTTGTATTTTTTAGTAGAGACAGGGTTTCACCGTGTTAGCCAGGATGGTCTCGATCTCCTGACCTCATGATCCGCCCGTCTCGGCCTCCCAAAGTGCTGGGATTACAGGCTTGAGCCACCGCGCGCGGCCAGATTTTCTTTTTAAGCACTTCAAATGCTTCTTAAATTCTTAAATTATCCTAATAAGACCATTAACTAAAACTAGAAATAATCTCAAATATCTTAAACATTCCAGTGTGGTTTACAAACTTAGTAAACTCTTATCCCTTTTAAATAAAAATCACTGTTTCAAAATCAATTGGTAGATAAATTTCAGTAGGAATCATAAGATGTTCTCCCACTGATACGCTAGATTTCCTTAAACATTACGACCCCTTTACATACAACAGATTATTCCTAAATATAATCCCAAAATGTGAATACTGAGGGTTAGACTAACTGATTCATCTCTGTGCTGAGTACTAAGCCACTTCAGGCTTTACAGGTCCCCACCACGAAGGCAGTGGCTGCATGTCAGAATCACAAATCCCCCCTGGACCCCCAGGCCAATGCAGGTAGAATCTCTGAGGTGGGGGCCACACATCAGTGGTTCTTAAAGTTCCCAGATGGTCTCAGTGTGCAGATGGGGCTGAAAACACTGCCCCAGGGGACCAGTTTTTAATACCCCAGGTGAGAACCAAGCTTCACCTCACAGTGATTGCCAGAGACTGCTGACCATGACGTAAGTTTTGGAATTGCAGACACCAGGGTGATTTTTTTCACCCTGAACTTAACAACCAGAACTCTGCATCCATTCCCTTTAGAGGGCCTTAGGCTTCTGTGGGTGGCCTTCATTTATGCTATGATAGAATTCTTTTGTAACCTCTAATTTCATTGCCTGCTTTGCTAGAAAGGATTTTGTAATCCTACCCTTTACTGCCTATTGTGATTCAGCAAATCTGATGCCTGCCCTGCCTGGTTTTGGCCAGAGCTTCGGAGTACTTCTGCCGACACCCATGCTCTAAGAACACAGGAAAGAGCAGGTGACCAGAGAATTTTGGAAAGGCTCCCCGGAAGTGGCACATGGGTGGTCTTTTGACTATGACAATGAGGTTGAGGGGCAGGAAGGTGAGCAGAGGAATTCCGGGTGGAAGAACAGTGGGAGCAGCTTGGGTTCCAGAGGTCAACGCAAGGCATGGAGTGAGAAACCAGAAGAGAGGACGTTAAGCCCCTGGCCTTGCTGACTCCAGCTCCCAGGCTCCCCAGCAGAGGTGGTAGGAGGGTCATAGGGGCCTCGGCTCGGCATTGTCCCTGTCTGGGATCGTGAGGGAGAGCTTCTGCACTTTTGGGATCTGCCCCACAGGACCACCTTTCATGCAGGGACCTCAGTGACCCCTCTGGGAAGAGCTTGTCCTTTAAGCAGGACCATCGGCAGGAAACACAGCAGCTCCGTTCTGTGCTGTGGCGGCTGGCCTCCAGGCATCTGCAGCCCCGTGAGTGGAAGAAGCTGGCATATTCCTGGGATTTCACGGAGGCGCATGTCTATGCCATCGAACAACAGTGGACAGGTAGCACCTTGCCTCTCCTCCCTCCAAGCAACCAGTGGGCGGAGGGGTGGGGCACCTGAAATGTGTTCAGCTTTCTGTGCTGCTGGGGAAAGAGCCTGTGCAACCCACAGCCTGGTCCCAGCACACCTGGTGCTCTGTCCCTCCTCCAGGCCTCCGCACAGGGTGCACACTCTGCCTCTCCCTCCCCATTGATTGTGAATTTACATTCTTCACCAATCAGCCCAAACCGATACCCACTGTTTACACCTAAACTAAACCATTGTTGGTAAAAAGAAGAGGGTCTGCTGTTATCACTATTACTCAACATCTATATGGAAATTTTGGCCCTGGCACTAAGGTATGAAAAGGAAATAGAAATAAGGAGTGTAAATATTGTAAAGGAAGAGAAAGACTTATTAATTTCAGATGGAATATTTAATATACATAGGACATCCAGAGGAATCAACTAAAAAAAATCTTAGAATTAATCAAATAATTCAAGGAAATGGCTAAATATAGAAAATATACTAACACCACAGAACTCCTATGAACCATTGTTAAATGGGCAAAAAGTATATATAGAGAATCTTTTAAAAGAGACTCTATTTACAATGGTGTGTGTGTTTCATCTGGAAAACCTAAAAGACAAATACAGATGACACATATGAATAAAACAATAATGGTTCAACTCTAAAAGATGATTTGTGTAAACGGAATGACTTCTGTATTTGTGGCAAGAAAAAGTATCATACAGATACCAGTTTTCCCCAATTAGATTAAAAATTGGATCTAATTTTAATCAAAATAGGAGGTTTTTGAAACTTGATTGAAGTATTCTACAATTTGAAAGAATAAACAGGGACGTAAAAGTGAACATTCTGGGGGAAAACAATAAAGGGGATCTAACTCCAGCAGACTCAGCCTTTTATAAAGCCAAATTAAAATTACAAAAAGAGATACCTGGATCAGGCATGGTGGCTCACGTCTATAATCCCAGCACTCTGGGAGGCCTAGGTGGGGGATCACCTAAAGTTAGGAGTTCGAGACCAGCCTGGCCAAAATGGTGAAGTCCCGTCTCTACTAAAAATACAAAAATTAGCCGGGCATGGTAGTGGGCTCCTGTAATCCCAGCTACTCGAGAGGCTGAGGCGTGAGAATCACTTGAACCCGGGAGGCAGAGTTTGCAGTGAGCTGAGATCACACCACTACACTCCAGCCTGAGGGATAGAGTTAGACTCTGTCTCCCAAAGAGAAAAAAAAAAGAGATTCCTGACACAAAAATATGCAAATTGATCAGTGGAATAGAGCAGAGTTCAAAAGTAAACGCTGCTGCAGATAAGAACTTTCACATATGATAAAGAAGCACTTGTACATTACAGTGGTGGGGGCAAATGGTGTTGAGACCGCTGGGTCAAGCGGAAGTGCCACTACACCAAGGGCAGCACCGTGAGGACATGCCTGCTGAGGGCCCCAAGAGGGACATGGAAGGTCAGAGGGGCAAATGGAGTGACCTGGACCTGATGGGTGTGGCCCAGCATCTATCTGTTTCCCCAGCACAGGAGAGCCAGCTGAATCACAGCCAGCCAAATAGCATGTTAACCCCATGCCGTGTGGGCAATTATTTTCCAAACATGGTTGTATGTTGGAACCACCTAGGAAACTTTAAAATCATTAAATGCCTAGACTGCACCCAGACCCAGGTACATGAGAATCTCTGGGGGTGACATGGGCCCTAGGTGTTTCCAAGGAGCAGCTGAGTCTCAGAACCACCAATGCAGAGGAAAGAGCATGGCCAGCTCTGTCTCTGTCTAAGCTGTATTCTCATCTGTAAATTAGGACCACTATCATGCAAGACACAGATTATTTTGAGCAGCCAGAGAGGTGAAGTGTACAGTTTGTGCATCATGGTACTACAACGATGAATGTCAATTCTTTCTCCATTCAGAGTGACACCAACAGAGTGTATAGTGGGTGTTCAGGAGAAGGCCTGGGGCTGGGGAGGTTCTAGAGACCAAGACACAAACCCTTCCCCCTCCATCTGAGAGGCTGCTCCTCCACTCCCCTTACCCATCTCCAGGCTGAGCTTGGCTGGAGCATGGAGAAGGGCCTTGGAGGCTTTTGGCCTCTTTCCCACATGGGCATGTTCAGGAGGCGGTGCAGGGTGGCATAGACAGGCGTTCTGGTCAAGTGGCCCCATTGGCTCTTTCTCCCTCTCTCCTCCCTCACTGTCCTCAGGCACCAAGAGCTATCAGGAGCACGGCCACCGAATGCTGCTCATTTGGCTGCATGGCGTGTCCACAGCTGGTGAGAACCCCAGCAAAGCACTGTTCGAGGGCCTTGTGACCATTGGCAGGAGGGACCTGGCTGGTAAGAGCGTACTCTGCTGGGTTTCTTCTCAGGAGCTGGGTGGCCCCCACTGGAATGCAGCAGGGCCCTCCAAGGGCTGCTCAGACAAGAATGCTGTGGTGCTGGCTCTGGGCCTTCCAGATTCCTACCCCTAGCTCTGCCCCCTTTTCCCTTGGGCAAACTACAGTGCCTCCTGACCCTGGTGTTGGCCCAAACTGAACCCTATGATAGCCCCGGAGCCAGTGATGCTGTCCAGAATCTCTTGCTTACCAGCCTTCTATACCTTGATTTTTTTTTTCCATTTTGGAATAAGCCACCTTCGGACTTCTTTTTCACAAACATTAAGACATGGGAGCCAAAACTGACTTAATATGAGTTGAACCAGTTAAATCAGGTCAAATAAACCTTCTGAGGTCATCACAACTTATTTGAGTATGCCAATTTCAAAAGCCTGATTTGGGATTCAGAGTGTTCCGTGGAATCATCAGACAAGCAGGATAGAAGGTTCTAGTACTAACCCTTCATTAAAAACAAAATCAGCTCATGATGAAAAGCCTTAAACGCTGTGATACCCACTGACGTGGTACATGATGGGGCAACCACAGAATGGAGCACTAGGCCGTCACTGACAGTTGTGAAGGCTCCATTAGTTATGAGGCAACAAAGAAAACCAATCCTGACATATTTCTAGCATATTGCTAGGGAAATATTTCTAGCATATTATTGAGGGAAAAAAGGAAAGGACCTCCCCCCATAGCTGCTATAAGCCAGGTGGAAAAGCTAAGAGTCATTTCAGGGTAGAGGGATTAGCGACGCTACCTTTCTTTCCCCAAAATGTTCTTAAATATAGTTGTTGCATCTTCTTTTAACACAAACTCTGGTAGGCAATTAAAACATAAAACCAGTCCTGTGAGGCAGAGCTTAGGCAACAGAGGAAATAAGATTCTTGTTTTTAACAGAAAACATCAGGAAGAAAGCAAACGCAGCCCCAAGTGCCCCCAGGAGGTGCACAGCCATGTAACCGGGGGGGCCAGACCTTCAGGCACATGGGACCTCAGCATGTGGAGCCACCTGAACAGAAGATGACCATCATTTAAGGGCTTTTTAAAAAATCACTGTTAATGGACCTCCGACTGATTCTACTGAAATGCACGGTCATGCAGAGCCCAGCAGGCAAATGTTTGTACAATGATCTTTTTCATGAGGATGGGTCCAAGGGCCTGTTTCAGGTTTTGTGGGTAATCCTGTCCCACAGGTATGGTCCTTTGGAGCTCTTGGAGTTCTTGGCACACTTTCTTCTTCTTCTTCTTTTTTTTTTCTTTTGAGACAGAGTCTCACTCTGTCGCCAGGCTGGAGTGCAGTGGTGCGATCTTGGCTCACTACAACCCCCGCCTCCCAGGTTCACGCCATTCTTCTGCCTCAGCCTCCCGAGTAGCTGGGACTACAGGCGCCCACCACCACACCCGGCTAATTTTTTTGTATTTTTAGTAGAGACGGGGTTTCACCGTGTTAGCCAGGATGGTCTCGATCTCCTGACCTCGTGATCTTCCCCAGGGATGGGGCGTTCCATCTTCTGCCCTGTCCGGGAGAGTAGCCGCTTGCCACCTGAGGCTGTCGTGCACCTGAAATGTTGGCTAGAGGGACTGAGAAGCTGAAATTTCTTATTTCTCATTATTTGAAATTGTAGGCACCCATGGCAAGTGGCATCCATGGTGCTTGGCTTTGAGGTGCCAGGCAAGCACAGCTTGTTGTGGGGCTCGGCTACACCAGCAGGGGGATGTGTTTCTGGGGAAATGTGGCTCTGGAAGCTTCACGGTTTCCTAGAATGTGGAAAATATATCTGCGCAGGATAGAAATCCTGCCCAGAGGCTGTTTCTGTCTCATTTGAGCTCTCTTTCATGTGGCAGAGCTGGCTGTGGCCAGTTTAGGAGCCTACATTTGAGAAAAGCTTACCTCAAAGTTCTGCATTGAGCCTGAGACTGGAAAGGAGATAGAATAAAACAGCTGACAGGGGCTTTGGCGGTCACACATGCCTGATGGGGTGCACAGGGCCACCGTCTCTGAAAGGTAATTTGGCATTATCTGTCCACAATATACTTTTATCCATTGGTCCAACAATCCTAGTCCTAGGAATTTGTCCTACATATAAACCTGTATGCATACAAAATGACAGACATACAAGGTTATTACTTTGAAAAAGCAAAAGATTGGAAACAAACCAAGTGACTGGCTACAGGGGACTGGTGAAATAGAATATGTTCCATCCACACAATGGAATTCTGTTCAGCAGTAAAAGGATGTTGTTGTTATGGAAAGAGCTCCAGGATAAATTAAATGGAAAAAAAAAAACACCAAGATACAGGTACATTAAACAGAAGGAAATTGGTTCAGAGGATATCTGCACTATTTGTCAAGAGATGCTTTTAGAGAAAAAACTTCCTTTTCTCTCTTCACCTTTTGCAGGTGATGTATTTTTTTCTTAGGATTCCTTTTTTCTTTTTTTTTTAAACAGAGTTTCGCTCGGCTGGGTGAGGTGGTTCAAGCCTGTAATCCCAGCATTTTGGGAGGCCAAGGCGGGCGGATCATGAGTTCAGGAGATTGAGACCATCCTGGCTAACATGGTGAAACCCCGTCTCTACTAAAAATACAAAAATTAGCTGGGCGTGGTAGTGGGCACCTGTAGTTCCAGCTATTTGGGAGGCTGAGGCAGGAGAATGGCGTGAACTCAGGAGGCGGAGCTTGCAGTGAGCCAAGGTCGTGCCACTGCACTCCAGCCTGGGCGACAGAGTGAGACCCTGTCTCAAAAAAAAAAAAAAAGAAACAGAGTTTTGCTCTTGTTGCCCTGTGTGGAGTGCAGTGGCTTGATCTTGGCTCACTGCAACCTCCATCTCTTGGATTCAAGAATTCAACTGCCTCAGCCTCTGGAGTAGCTAGGATTACAGGCACGTGCCATCATGCCTGGCTAATTTTTGTATTTTTAGTAGATGGATTTCACCACATTGGTGAGGCTGGTCTCGAACTCCTGACCTCAGGTGACCCATCTGCCTTGGCCTCCCAAAGTGCTAGGATTACAGGCATGAGCCATAGAGCCTGGCCATCTTTGGATTCTTGAAACTTAAGAAAAATTCTAAAACATATTTGTGATCTATTACCTTATGAGACATGATAGGGAAAAAAATAGACAACTTTACCTACCACTAATTTATATTTAATCAGCATTCTTTTGTTTCCTAACATATATGTTGTGAGCTAAATATATGCTCTTACTCTAAATCTTTCTGAGCTACACTTTAAGGGTGAAAATTGTTTTTTTTTTTTGAGACGGAGTCTCGCTCTGTCGCCCAGGCTGGAGTGCAGTGGCCGGATCTCGGCTCACTGCAAGCTCCGCCTCCCGGGTTTACGCCATTCTCCTGCCTCAGCCTCCCGAGTAGCTGGGACTACAGGCGCCCGCCACCTCGCCCGGCTAGTTTTTTGTATTTTTTTAGCAGAGACGGGGTTTCACCATGTTAGCCAGGATGGTCTCGATCTGCTGACCTCGTGATCCGCCCGTCTCGGCCTCCCAAAGTGCTGGGATTACAGGCTTGAACCACCGGGCCCGGCCTTTGTTTTGTTTTTTGAGACAGAGTCTTGCTCTCTCACCCAGGCAGGAGTACAACGGCGAGATCTCAGCTCACCGCAACCTCCGCCTCCTGGGTTGAAACGATTCTTGTGCCTCAGCCTCCCGAGTAGCTGGGATTACAGGCGCGTGCCATGACACCCAGCTAATTTTCGTATTTTTAGTAGAGATGGGGTTTCGCCATGTTGGCCAGGCTGGAAAATTAAAACATAATTTCACAATTATTCCTCTTCCACCTTAAGTAACAAGAGTAGAATAATTTCTGTGTTTTTATCTTATTCACATAAATAAATGCCATGGCTTACCACAGTTACAATGTGTTTTCTGAAAGTAAAGATTTTTTTACCTTGAAATTACAAAAATTATTTTCAGTTTTCCAAAATTCGATCTTTAAACCAAAATAATTCAATTTTCATGGATGCACAAGTGTTTATTGAGAGTCTCATATTCACACTTTCCTTCACAGCACTATAAAGTTGGACTTGGAAAATTTGGACAGCCATTTGCCATTGTGATTTTTATTCTTTTTTCTCCTGATTATTTGACAAAACTTGTATCCACATTGTAGTTGTTTGTGTGTCTGCTTCTATTGCATATTGTAAAATTATTAACTGCTTCCCAAAATAGTATTTCTCTCAGCAGATATTTCTTTGGTACTACAGGACTGAAATCATTTCTCTGGATGAATTTTATACAATGAATTTTGTAATTTTTTTCTGAGACAAAAAAGTTCTTAAATACAATAAAATTGAAATGTTGAAATATATCTCTCAAATCCAGTACTCATTTCTTTTCTTTGGGAAATACAGGGCGAAATTCCAGGTCAGACAAGCTGTCACAGATTGGTGCTATGTAAGCACAACGGCTCAACTCACTGCCAGTGAATACTTCCTGAGTGGATTTTGTGCCAGTGGTCTGCCAGGAGTGGGTACAGAGATGAGAGCCCACAGTTCCCTCCTTTTCCCCAAGCTTATGGTCTAGTGGGGGAGAAGGGCGTGCACACCAATAACTGAAATAGGGTGCAGTCCCCGCTGTAATGGATGGGTGCAAACAACCATGGGACTTCTTCCTGGAGGAAGGACGAAAGGAAGGGGATGAAGCTCACAGAGGAGACGGAAGTAGGGAAAGGGCAGTCCAAGCCAAGAGCACAGCCTGAGCAATGGCCCACAGGTGTGGAGAGGGACCCCCCTCGGGGCGTGGCGTGGCGTGGCTGCAGCACAGGATGCGTGGAAGGAGGGGGAGCTGTGACCTGAGGGGTGGGAGGGGAAGGGGTGCAGATGCGTTGGAAATTGTTCCCCACCCCATCACCAAAAATTAGATGTCTCATAAAGTAGAAACTGAACAGAATAGACTCCACCTTTGGAAACACACATCTGCTTGTCCTTTCAGAGTCTACTTTCCCTTGCTAATTGTGACTCTCCTTGTTTCTAAAATGTATATTTAAATCACTTTTCCAATGTGTATTTACTTACAGTTACTCCCTTCCCTTTTCCTTTTTTTTTTTTTTTTGAGACAGAGTCTTGCTCTGTCACCAGGCTGGAGTGCAGTGGCGCAATCTTGGCTCACTGCAAGCTCCGATTCCCGGGTTCAAGTGATTCTCCTGCCTCAGCCTGCCACCAAGTAGCTGGGATTACAGGCACGGGCCACCATACCCAGCTAATTTTTTTTGTATTTTTAGTAGAGATGGGGTTTCACCATGTTAGCCAGGATGGTCTCGATCTCCTGACCTCGTGATCTGCCCACCTCGGCCTTCCGAAGTGCTGGGATTATAGGCGTGAGCCACTGCGCCTGGCCCCTTTTCAAGATATATACTGTACTTAAAACTATTCACATATAGTAAGCAGGTTTATATACTTAAAGTGCAAAGCCTTTCTCCTGTGGATCCCAAGGTAACTTCTAGAAGTGGGTGCAGGCCCTGGATCACATCATGTATCAAAATGAACTTATAAAATGCACAGGTTAAGAACAGAGGTGGAGTCCCTGGCTCTTAGTGGAGGTTGCTCCCCTCATCTCTTCCCGTGTGCAGAGCTTCAGTAAATGGTTACAGTCCTACTTCAGAGTTTCTGAAACTGTGGTCTGATTTCCACAACAGAGGTCCTTAGTGTTCATGCACTGGCAAGTGACAAGATCAGACCTGCGTGTGGACCACACAGAAGCTAGGTGGGGGTGGGAGGAGATGGCTGGTGGAGCCAGTAAGGACTGCAGTAGTCTGGGCAAGAGATGCCAAAGCCTGGCCTGTAGTGAGGAATGCTCAAGTCTGGAGGCAAGTTGCTAGATCTCTGAGAGTCAGGGGATGTGGGTGTAGTAGATGTGGAAATGCACTGCCTGGACCCCCTTCTTCCAGGAAGGCCTTTCCACCCAGCTGCGGGAGTGCACTGGGCAGACAGCCTCTAGCTGTCAGTCCTTCAGTGTCCGCCTCAGCTGCAGAGAGCTGCCCCACCGAATGCCCTACCTTCCCCAGGGCAGCTGCCTCTGGGAACTGAGCATAGAGACCCAGCCATTTTAGTCCTCCATGAAAATATTCCAGTGGGCACTTCAAGCTCCTGTGTGCCCTACCAAGTTGGCGGGTACTTGATCAGGCCTGCATCACAGTTCAATTTCGCTGTCTGCCCAATCCATCTTCCTTTCACAGATTTTTTTTTGTTTTGTTTTGAAGATTGAGTCTCACTCTATTGCTTAGGCTGGAGTGCAGTGGCACCATCTCAGCTCACTGTAACCTCCGCCTCTCTGGTTCAAGTGATTCTCCGGCTTCAGCCTCCCGAGTAACTGGGGTTACAGGCACATGCTGCCAGGTCTGGCAATTTTTTTTGTATTTTTAGTAGAGATTGGGTTTTTCTATGTTGGCCTGGCTGGTCTTGAACTCCTGACCTCCGGTGATCCACCCTCCTTGATCTCCCAAAGTGCTGGGATTACAGGTGTGAGCCACCACACCAGGCCACAGATGTTGATCCTTAATAAACATCTTGCACCCCAAATTTCATCTCCACATCCACTTCAGCCTGAGACATGGGGGTGGAGGAGTGAGTGGGGGTGGAGGGTCTAAGATGGCTGCGTTCCTAACTGGGGATTCCAAGGAACAGTGATGCCAGGACCTAAGATAATAGGGCTAGACTACCAGCTTTTGCCTGGTAGTCTGTTGAAGGCTGGGATGCCTGTCAAAGGCTGGCCTGATAGGCCTGAGTACGCATTCAAGACCAGTACTCAAAATTGATCAGGGCTGGCAATGACAACTTGCAGTCATCAGGGTGCAGAGCTGGGGAGTAGTTAAAGCTGTCAGACAGCTCTAGTAGCCTCAGATGCTACTAGTTAAAATGTCAAGCTTCGCCCTTATGGTTTACCAAGTGTTTCCATAACTCACGACTGTTGTCAAGCCACAGATAGAGAAGACACTGTGGCCCCTTTGTGGAAAGATCACTGGTTTTAGGGATGGTCAGACTCAAGCTGGCATCCCAGCTCCACCCCTTACTGCTTGACCCTGAGCAAGTCTCTTGACCTCTCCCAGTCTCCAGGTCCTCACCTGTAAAGTCAGGATAATCAGGGCTGTACTGGGGATGAAGTCTAAGAGGGTATGGCCAACCTAATATTCCGAAACCTGGCACATAAAGGGAAAGAAGCACTGATGCTTATTTTTCTGTCTAAATTGTACCTCGGCAAAACCAAGCAGTTGAGGAGGGCAAGTTTTTGGTTTTTTTAAATTGGTAATTTCCAGTTAATAAATGCAGAAGGAAAGATAAAAATTAGTATTATTACTGTTCTGCAACCCCTAATGGAATGATGCA